ACAGATACGTCACTAGTGACGCTAGTGGCAGCAGTGGAGCAAGTTACAGATACGTCACTAGTGACGCTAGTGGCAGCAGTGGAGCAAGTTACAGATACGTCACTAGTGACGCTAGTGGCAGCAGTGGAGCAAGTTACAGATACGTCACTAGTGACGCTGAGACATAGGGTTATGACCGTATATTTTGGTGCATGTGTATAAGTATTTTATTTCAAGATTGGGTCATTACAGAAATGTACAAATTAATTTAAATAATTAAGTACAAACTAGCTACCTAACATCAGGTATATTGAAATATGTAGAGCTTATCTTCAAGTCTTCCCATCAGCTGTAATTAAAATAGATAGAGATCAAATATAACTTATAATATTAAAGTAAAGTTTGTTTTTACTGATTGCTAACAGATTTGCAGACAGATTGCCAACTGATTGCCTACAGATTACCAACTGATTGCTAACAGATTGCCAACAGATTACCAACTGATTGCTTATTGATTGCTAATAGATTATCTACTGATTACCAACAGATTGGCAACTGATTGCTATCAGATTGCCAATAGATTGCTAAATGATTGCTAACAGATTACCAACAGATTGCCAACTGATTGCTGACAGGTTGCCAACTGATTGCTAAGTGATTACTAGCAGATTGCCAACTGATTGCCTCGCTGTGGCCGAAATCACGACGGATTGCTTCCAAGTGCCAACCGGCAATCATTATTTCCAGCGGTTCACTCGAGCGGAAATGAGAAACCCGAACCAATTCTTGCGTAAGGGAAATGCAATTAACTTATTAGAAGCTGAGCAGGTAAAGAAGGACTGAATTTACTGAGCAGTTAAGAAACGAGTTCGCTTGGCAAGAATTATTCGAAGGTAAACTGAAATAATATATGCAGTATGGGATAGTGGGAGTTTTGAGCGGAAGGGATGCCTAGACGTTACAGCAATATTGGCAAGAAGTTGAAACAGTATTGGCTAGGTGTTGCAGCAATATTGGCAAGAAATTGACACTGCATTGGCTAGATATTGTACCAATATCGGCAAGTGAAGCAGCGTTGGCTAGGTTTTTAGCAATATTGGCTAGGCGTTGTAGCTTTATTGGCAAAAAATTGAGACAGTATTGGCAAGGTTGGAAAGGTTTTGTAAAAATATCGGCAAGTGAAGCGGTATTGGCTAGGTATATAGCAATATTGGCGGGGCGTTGAAATAGTATTGCAGGTGTTGCAGCATTATTGGCAGGTGTTGCAGCAGTATTGGCCAGGTGTTGCAGCAGTATTGGCCAGGTGTTGCAGAAGTATCGGCTAGGCGTTGCAGCAGTATTGGCCAGGTGTTGCAGCAGTATTAGCCAGGTGTTGCAGCAGTATTGGCCAGGTGTTGCAGCAGTATTGGCCAGGTGTTGCAGCAGTATTGGCCAGGTGTTGCAGCAGTATTAGCCAGGTGTTGCAGCAGTATTGGCCAGGTGTTGCAGCAGTATTGGCCAGGTGTTGCAGCAGTATTGGCCAGGTGTTGCAGCAGTATTGGCCAGGTGTTGCAGCAGTATTGGCTGTAAGTGCAAACCAATATCTCGCGCAGCTGCGTCTGTTCTGTTCTCGCGGCTGAGAAATTTGGCGCAGAAAAAAATAGAGGCAGGAACGGCAGATGTTTAAAGCTGCGTGGCGCCTTACAGCTGTACGTCTTGTACAGCTGTACGTCTGTTGTACAGCTGAACGTCAGTTGTACAGCTGTACGTCTGTTGTACAGCTGAACGTCAGTTGTACAGCTGTACGTCTGTTGTACAGCTGTACGTCTGTTGTACAGCTGTGCGTCTGTTGTACAGCTGTATGTCTGTTGTACAGCTGTACGTCTGTTGTACAGCTGTACGTCTGTTGTACAGTTGGACGTCAGCCTTACAGCTCTAAATTTGCCATACAGCTGTCTGTAAGATTTACAGCTGTACCTTTATATTTTAATATCAGCCATCCTTACAGCTGTATATTTTTTTCCACAGCTCTATATAACTTCTGCTAATAAAGACTAACGTGAAGAGTAATAAATTTTTAAGATTTAAAAAATTAACGCCTCAAAGTTTATCTATCTAATATAGTCGATCAAATAGAGTTTTATGCTATTCAAGTCTTTGGAATTTAGCTAGCAACAGCTTTCGTATCCATATTGTCTATATATGAAAGTTTTACAAATTCATCCACTGAATTATTTATAACATATCTATGTATCTATTTATAATATACTAGTAAATTCTCTTGTATTTTTCGATTATTTCGGGACTTGGAAACTTAAGCTTCCGCGCATACGTCTGTCGGGCAAGGCAGGTCAGTAGAGTGATGAATGATGACAACTGATGAATGATGAGAAGTGATGAATGATGACAAGTGATAACAGAGATGTAAAATTGTGATGATAAGATGAAATATCATTTGTGATAATACCTAGAACTTTCTTTGTAATTGGTGAACAGTTCGACTGAATTATTTACAGTGAATAATGCTGAATCATCTACTAATTGGTTATTTATTTTTACCACATGAACGGAAGTATTAACAAATATCGTGAATATTACCATTTAAAAACACTTAATGGTACTAGTAATAAAAATATCAAATAATATTATAAAAAATTCATCATAGTGCATAATCAATTATATATCAACCCGATTTAAAAGTATTATGCGCATCAAAATAAAAATATAAGTACAAAGACATCAATTAATATTTGATTACTATTTAATAAAATTTTAAAAAAGCCTATGCTAAGATAAAAGAAACAATATAAATATAAGTAACAGAAAAAAATAAGAGAACAATATAAACTAAATAATAAACGATAACAACAAGGCGAATTCAATGCCGTATATCCGCTCCATAATCCCGTACTGAAATTTAAAAAAAAAATAATTTAAATTATATTTAATTTCAAAAACTATTATCAACTATTCACTGGCATTAATTGCTGTAGCCTGAATCATACATACATTTTGTACACACATTTACTTTGATTAAAACTTCGATTATTCAACAGAAAAATTGAAATTCAACAACAGCAGACAAGCTCGTCAGAAGAAGAAATATTCAACAGTGCTCAGAATCAACAACAATCATCAAAAACAACACCAGCTGGAGTAAAAACAACCTACAATTACGTAGGAGCTTTTGCAAAATACTTAATAACAACAACATAGATAAATAAACACAGCAGTAACAACAAGAATCAAGAGCAGCAACAACAACAAGAGTCAGGAGCAACAACAACAAGAGTCAGGAGCAACAACAACAAGAATCAAGAGCAACAACAATCAAGAACAGCAACAACAAAAATCAAGCGTAGTAACAACAACAAGAGTCAAGAGCAGCAACAACAACAACAACAACAACAACAAGAGCAGCAGCAACAACAACAAGAGTCAAGAGCAGCAACAACAACAACGAGAGTCAACAACAAGAGTCACGAGCAAAAACAACAAGAATCAAGAACAAGAACAACAACAACAACAACAACAAGAGCAGCAGCAACAACAACAAGAGTCAAGAGCAGCAACAACAACAAGAGTCACGAGCAAAAACAACAAGAATCAAGAGTCAAGAGCAGCAACAACAACAACAACAACATCACGATGCGGGTGTGGGCGGCGGTGGTGGTGATGGCGGTGCTGGTGTGGGGGGTGGGGGAGGCGCAGCGGAGGGGGGGAGGACGGCGTGGGGGGCGCAGGGGGAACAGGCTCAGAGGGCTGCCCAGAGTGACGAATGAAGCGAGCACAGCGTACTATGACCACAAGGACGTGAGTAATGATGGGTAATAATAAGTATTGATAAATTATCAAGAGTAATAGTGAGTAATAGTGAATAATACTCGAACAAAAATTCGTGAATCGCCTAGGCTTCTGCCTAGGAACCGCTATATTCGCCTTAGTTATTCTATGTCTGCTTGGCCACCTAATCGTAATTAACGTCTGATTAGAATCTCCTTCCCGACTTGAAAATGTCCTAAAACTATGATAAGTCTGTCATCAAAGAATGACAAGAACACGACAAGTGTTTCTCAGTATGACAAGGGTTTGTCGAAGGCTGCATTTCAAGCTCGGTCGAGGCGAATATTAGCGGCTGATTTACGCGCTCCCCGAGTCCTGGGCGGCACCTGATGCAGAATCGGGCCAGTATCTGAATTTTGTTGGGTATGACTACCAGGACGTAAGTAATGGTGGGCAATGATAAGTAATGAGAAATCTTGAGTTATATTGAATGATGACAGGTAATGGTGATTAATGATGAAATATAGCAATTAATGGTGAGTAATGGCGATTTAAGGTGAGTATCACGGCTAAAAAGACAGGAGTAATGAGTTATGGTGAGTAATATGACCACGAAGACGGAATTAATTATGAGTAATACTATAATGTATCCATAATAGATTAGGGTGCGATCCTACGATACGTTACATGCCGTAACGTACAGCGTACTACAGACAGACTAATCGATAGGGCATATACCGTCTACACTCGACATCTAGGAATTGACAGACGCATTGACAAACCATATACCGTCTACACTCGACATCTAGGAATTGACAGACTTATCGACAAACCATATACCGGCTATACTGGACATCTAGTAATTGACAGACGCATCGACAGACCATATACCGTCTACACTCGACATCTAGGAATTGACAGACGCATTGACAAAACATATACCGTCTACACTGGACATCTAGGAATTGACAGACACTTCGACAGACCATATACCGTCTACACTCCACACTCAGAAAAAGACAGACGTATCGACAGACCATATACCGTCTACACTCGACATCTAGGAATTGACAGACGCATCGACAGACCATATACCGTCTATACTCGACATCTAAGAATTGACAGACACATCGACAGACCATATACCGTCTACACTCGACATCTACGAATTCACAGACACATCGACAGACCATATACCGTCTACACTCGACATCTAGGAATTGACAGACACATCGACAGACCATATACCGTCTACACTCGACACTCAGAAAAAGACAGACGCTTCTCTGCGTTATTGACTCAATGAGACGCTTCCTGTCACAGCGGCTCCCGTCATTTCCTGTCAGATCGCCGTCAGTTCCTGGCCCTCTGTCCTGCCAGCATTGCAGGCACTCCGCAGGGAATAAACAAATTCAATACTTTTTTCAAAAATCATTTCAAATTCAAAAAGTTTTTGTTATGCAAACAGAAATTTTACACAACACATTTTACTTTTACGTAAACAGAAGCCTCCATTCAAATGACGTTGAAACAACATAGATAAGAAATAAAATTCGTTGAAACGACGTTGACTGATTTCGTTGAAACGTCGTTGATTAATATTTAATTTCACTTAAACAAGTTTCATTAGAAAACTTGTTCAGATGTCTGAACAAGTTTCAACTTCAGATGCCTGTTCGGACAAATTTTGATTTACGTCATTTTTCCAATTAAGATTTTTTGACAATGCATACATAGATCAAGCACCGAAGAGCTCGAAAAATGAGCAAACTAGTCACGACTTATGCAAGTGAAATTTCGAGTAAACAAATGCAATTTTAATCATAAAGAAGTGTCACAACGGGCTACTATTACATTATCAAATTAACGATTCGGATTGATAGTGATCGTTCGTGTGTATCAGAACTTGTCGATCTGTTATAGTGGCGTCACTTCATCACACTCACCAACGCGATACAAACACATTCCTAACACTTCACTAACCCGTCCCTAACATTACTGGCACAAAGATCACAGGATGGTCACTAACACGCCCCTAACACGGCCCTAACATTGCAGGCCGCCAAGATCACGTGACGGTCATTAGCACGCCCTTAACATGCCCCTAACACGGCCTTAAAATTACAGGCCGCCAAGATCGCGTGACGGTCATTAGTACGCCCCTAACATGCTCCTAATACGACCCTAACATTGCAGACTGCCAAGATCACGTGACGGTCATTAGCACGCCCCTAACATGCGTCTAACACGACCCTAACATTGCAGGCCGCCAAGATCACGTGACGGTCATTAGCACGCCCTTAACATGCCCCTAACACGGCCCTAACACGTCCCTAACACGTCCCAAACTCGCCCCTAAAACGACCCTAAGATTGCAGGCCGCCAAGATCACGTGACGATCATTGGCACGCCCCTAACACGGCCCTAATATGCCCCTAACACGACCCTAACTCGCCCCTAAAACGACCCTAACATTGCAGGCCGCCAAGATCACGTGGTGGTCGCACTTCGAGACTGAGTACATCCTGGGCAGGAAGATCGTCTTCATGTGCACCGCCACGGGGGACCCTGTGCCACACATCACCTGGTATAAGAACGGCATCGAACTGTACGCCCACTCCTTCCTGCAGGTGCGTTATACCAGCTGTATGTCATACAAGCTGTACGTTATACCAGATACAGTATATTTTAACAATTCAGACGCCGTATTATACGCAGCGGTAGCCCCGTATATGAGCAGACGCCATATTTTACGCAGCACAGGCCCTGCGTGAGCAGACGCCGTATTTTACGCAGCACAGGCCCTGCGTGAGCAGACGCCGTATTTTACGCAACGTCAGCAGTGAAATAATTACCCATTGGGCTGCCATTGATTGCGCCGGAGGTTGTAACAGAGCATTAAGAGAATCTGATCAACTCAGCGTGCAGGTTCGCCGCACTTACGACGGCCGCACGTCGTCCGTGTATCACACGTGAAACATTTGTCTATATTTGAGCGTCAGGAACGTCATTATCGAATAAAAACGTCGTGCGCGTGGTGCAATAAGCCGCTCTAAATAACGGGTTGTAGATCACAGAGACTGTAATTAGATGGTATGAGGTCCGTGGTATGAGAGAGCCGTGGAGTTAGAAGGTCCATGGTGTTAGAGGGCTTGGGGTGTGAGAGGGACATGGTGATGGTTCCAGAATCAGTGACACCCGATTTGGATAATTTGTAATCTCGAATTTTTGGTGCATACGCACGGAAAATTTACTAGCATAGAAAGAAAATGAGAAGGGGGAGTTGATTACGTATGGTGGGGAGGGGGAAGGCCATTAATTAATGGTCTACTCCATTAATTAATGCTGCTGGAACCTGGAAGACAATCTCGGGCCCCATGGGAAACTCTCCGTCCCTTGGGGAAGCGGCAATGAGCCCTCTGGAAAATTTATTGAGGAAACACTAGATGAATTACAGGGGAGTGTTGGAGGAACACCTGTGCAGTGGATGAATTACGGGGGAGTGTTGGGGGAACACATGTGCAGTGGATGAATTACGGGGGAGTGTTGGGGGAACACATGTGCAGTGGATGAATTACGGGGGAGTGTTGGGGGAACACCTGTGCAGTGGATGAATTAAGGGGAGTGTTGGGGAACACCTGTGCAGTGGATGAATTACAGGGGAGTGTTGGGGGAACACCTGTGCAGTGGATGAATTACTGGGGAGTGTTGGGGGAACACATGTGCAGTGGATGAATTACTGGGGAGTGCTGGGGGAACACCTGTGCAGTGGATAAAAAAATATGTCACTAACTGAACAAAATATTTACCCACAAACAAGCAGTAATAAGCAAAGAATCAAAATAATACTGTACAAATAATACAAAAATACAATAATTTCACCTAAAAAATTACTTATGTGCAGCGATTTGCAATAAAATTTAACGATATTATTGTTGGCATCTTTTCTGATATTTTTGCAGACAGAAACTATTAATATATAATGTTGGATTATGAGAGATTACGGTGATTGTTTCACGTCGCTGGCACCGAATAGATATTTGTCCGGGGCTTGGAGCTCGCAGGGAAATAGATGAGGCAATTTGTCCCAAGGCAATCTCGCAGGGAATGGGGGGGACTTGTTGGGGATTAGATTAGACGTATATAGAAAACTGAGAATTTCTGCGTGAAAATGAGCTCGGGGAAGGTGAACAATATCGGTGACAATATCTAGGAGGAAATAAATTAAAAATATTTTTGGTAGAAGGGTTGAGTTGGAGATAAAAAACGGTCATTTGGGAAAAACAAAAAAGGATTGGTAAGTCAAATTGAACGCGAAAATATAAAAGAGCTTACATGCCCGAACAAATCCGGCGTGAAAAAGAGCTTTCAAACATGAATAAGTTGAGAGTGATTAAAATATTTCAAATTCAATCAAATCAAGCGTGAAAATGAGCTCTCAAACTGGATAAAATCAGGCATGAAAAAGAGCTTCAAACCCCGTCACAGTCGATGGTAAAAAGTTTTTCCAAACCCGATCAACTGCTGCGTCAAAAAGAGTTTTCAAACCCGACAGAGACAGGCTAAAATGACCTCTCTAATTAAGCCCACTAAGTCCTGTGTGGAAAGAGCTTCTAATATAAAACAAATCCAGAGGCTGCAAAAAGATTCCAACCTGACCAAGTTCAGCGTTAAGATGAGCTTCTAAATTGGACTAAAGTAAACGAGAAAAAGTTCTTCCAAACTGTAGCAAATATTAATTTTATAAAGAGCTTCGAAACTCGACAAAATTCAGCACCAAACAATAATCCAAATTCAACAAAATCCAGCGTCAAAAGAAGCTGCCTAACTAAACCAAATCCAGCGTCAAAAAGAGCTGCCTAACTTAACCAAATCCAGCGTCAAAAAGAGCTGTCTAACTAAACCAAATCCAGTGTCAAAAAGAGCTGCCTAACTAAACCAAATCCAGCGTCAAAAAGAGCACGTGAAAAAGAGCTGCCTAACTAAACCAAATCCTGCGTCATAAAGAGCTGCCTAATTTAACCAAATCCAGCGTGAAAAAGAGCTGCCTAACTAAATCCAGCGTCAAAAAGGGCTGCCTAACTAAATCCAGAGTCAAAAAGAGCTGCCTAACTAAATCCAGCGTGAACATGAGCTGCCTAACTAAACCAAATCCAGCGTCAAAAAAAGCTACCTAACTAAGCCAAATCCAGCGTCAAAAAGAGCTGAATAATTTAACCAAATCCAGCGTGAAAATCTTCTCCCAGCCATGACTAAATCCTGCGGCTGCAGTGGTAATCTGGGGCTTTGAGATTTTCCTAGAGAAGAGCCTATTAATGCAGCAGCGGGGACTAAACGAGGCCGTCCGTCTTCCCCACGTGAGGGAAAGACTGGAATTCGTATGGGGATTTTTGTTCTAACTCAGTGGAACTGTCTATCTTGAAGATATTATTTACATACTTGAAATACCAAGATGGAATATCTTAGTGTTTCTTGATAGTGCGTCACTATCACTAACGCACTATCACGTCACTATCACTAACGCACTATCACGTCACTATCACGTCACTATCACGTCACTATCACTGACGTATTATCACGTCACTATCACTGACGCACTATATCACGTCACTATTACTGACGTACTATCACGTCACTATCACTATAACGCAATATCACCTCACTATCACTGACGCACTATCACGTCACTATCACTAACGCACTATCACGTCACTATCACTGCCGTATTATCACGTCACTATCACGTCACTTTCACGTCACATATCACGTCAGAATACAAAAGTACTCCAACATCTGGTGCCGGCACTCGATACTTTGTAAGAGAGCGTCCAACTTTGTTAACTTGAACAACTAGAGAGGAACTTGAAGCTCAGAGATTTCCTTCCAACTTATCAGCCAGCAAAGTTTGTGTCTGAAGTTTGCAGCCTCGCAACACGGCCATACAACGTCAACAATTGGCGACAGTTTTCGCCGGAAATCGAATTCAGCGAACAGAAATGAATTCCGGAAATTGTTCTTCACTAACATGACGTGTTTTTTGCATCGCAGTTGAATTACGTTACAGTGGGGATTGAATTCGCCTCAATGGACTGAACATTTGAGTTGTTGAACGGACCTTTGACATTACAATTTTTTTTGACCGCTGGAGTAATTATTTTTATTTTTTACTGCCGGACTGGAAAGGCGTCATAAATAACAATTTTATATTGCGCCTCGAGTAACGTTTTAAAAAGTGATGAAACTGTTCGGTCATTTATTTCCCACAAGAAAATTTATCGGGAAATATGTCATGCATATTGTACCACTGACAGTAAAAAAATTGATAGGTGATGAATTGACCGGTGAGTGCATTGAGCCGCTTAGCCACCACACACCCAGAGAAATGAGTCAGACGTTGTCCAAATAGCCATGTAAATTTTTTGTGTGCGTCAACCCGACTCCACATATCGATGCGATTTTTTTGTGCGTCAACCCGACCCGGAAAAAAGACGAATTAGTGCTACGATAGAAAGCGAGTTATTATTTGGGCAGTATCACCCATTTTTAGCGCATTTTCTCATCGATGGAAAAAATGCACTATTGTGTTCGCCATGTCCGTCTGTCCGTCTGTCCGTGATGTCCGTCTGTGGACTTCACGTTTTCGTCGACGAAAAAATGCGCTCTCTGTCACTTACTGCAGTGAGTACTGAGTTATATTTTTTCATGAATGCACTGAAAGAAACCGCCCGGCTATCGCACTTAAATTCCTATTGTCATTGCGCGGCTATGAATTTCTGATTTTTTTTCGTCATGTAAAATCATGTAAATTGTAAAGCCTTGTCTTCGATCAGTATTAGCACTGAGTATACTCAGCTTCCGACATACGCGCTAATGGAGCTGTCTCAGCCTGCATCCTGGGGCGCGGGAGCGAAACGTTGTTGCTGTCAAAACCACACGCCCGATACGTTATAGCCGGGCGTGCCACTCAGAGGCCGGATTATCAAAACTTCGTAACTTTTTGTACTTACGACAAAAAAGTTCTGTAGTACGTAAATACACCCTAATTTTGGCATTATCAGAACTTTCGTAAGTAAGTCTTGGCTAAAAGCCTAAATTTTTTTCCCGCGCAAATTTTTCCTGCGCAAATGTTTTTATAATACCACCGCTAGTATTACGTTGTCATAGCAACGCCACTCGTAAGTCGATTTTGCGTACTTACGAAGTTCTGATAATACGGCCCCAGAGATACGTAAGCGAGACTTTGTCCAATTAACGAAGCATTATTTGCACTTGTGTATGTCATCTAGAACAAGATTGGTTCGGTAGGTGGGCTATATCCTATACATAGGGTGAACCAGAATTAACTGACCCTTTTAATTTGTTAATAAATAGAAAACTAAGAACGTTATGAAGTTGAAACTTGTTTTATTTAAAAGAAGAACATTTTTATGGTAATATTGTATCCTAGTTTTTAGGATACAATAACTAACTAGGATACAATATTACATACAATATTTCAACTAATACATATTATTAATACATAATAAATATTCTAACTAATACAATAATAAAATATTGTAATAGTATACAATATTTTAACCAGGATACAATATTACCATAAAAATGTTCTTCTTTTAAATAAAACAAGTTTCAACTTCATAACGTTCTTAGTTTTTTATTTATTAACAAATTACAGGGTCAGTTAATTCTGGTTCACCCTGTATATATCCACTATGAAAATACGCATATGTTTTTGAAACGACAATTCATCGCAATTTTGACGGCGCTGTAAAAAGTAGTTTTATTATTATCGCTGCACGATAATAATAATAATCAAGTGGCATCGAAGTTTTAAGACTTCTCCAGTTCGGCAAACTCATCGACAATAAACTTTAATTATTGTTCTTATATTTCGTGATCAAATTTCCAATTATTTATCATTAGAGGCGCAATTACCTGAAAAATATTCAAGGCTTGTTTGGAATTATCTGTGGCTTCATCTTAACCAAATTTATGCTTAATGGTAAATCCTTCACATTAGCCATACGATTTATAGATCATTTGATTCGTACTTGATGATATTTTATCTTATTCATTTTGACTTATTCATATTCATTCATATTCATTTAGACTTATTCATATTCATTCATAATATTCATTTTGACTTATTCATATTAATTCATATTCATAAACTGAACTGGCCTCCGCATTGTCTTGGTTGAATTTTTGTTTATAAATTTCCCATTCGGCGCACAAAATTTAAACATTCATCACTGTGCATCAGTTTTCTAAATACTACGGTATTCTGTAAATCACGATTAAGCTTGTTCTATTTATTATACAATTCATTCTGATTAATTATAATTATTTCAATATTGTTACCGTTCTTCCTAAAATGCTAATTTATCATTTATTGAGTTAAACCCACTACGAGAAGGTTTCCGTTATCTACTGCATAAATAAAAAAACCAACTTTTATAATTTAGTTTCCCTTTAATACTTTTCATAAATTAATCCATTATTTTATCTCGGGCTCATTTCCTTCAAATTGTGATCCTGTCACCTGAAGCCCTTTAAGAGATCTTAGGACAATCAGTTGACTATTTTGCAATTTCAGTTAGGAATTACAGAGCAAATATTACATTGTACGGGTCCAAATTTTGATTATAATAAACCCTCTATGCAAACGCCGTTGAAACAACGTTGATTTCGCTGAAATAACGTTTAATCGACATTATTCTACTGTCAGATGCTTGGTGGTAAGATTCTATTCTACAACATAACCTAATTTCCTTATCTTTCCCATAATTTTTTGAAAGATGAAGTTAACTAAAATTCTTAGTTTACTCCCTAAAAGGCTAAAAATCAGGGTAGTTAGTGGAACATGCTCCAATTTGACTAGACAAGCCATGTTTACTCCTTCACTAAGACCTTGTTGTCCCGACAACTCATGTTTACCTCTTCACTAAGACCTTGTTGTCCCGACAACCCATGTTTACCCCTTCACTAAGACCTTGTTGTCCCGACAACCTATGTTTACCACTTCACTAAGACCTTGTTGTCCCGAAAACCCATGTTTACCACTTCACTAAGACCTTGTTGTCCCGACAACACATGTTTACCTCTTCACTAAGACCTTGTTTTCCCGACAGCTCCACGAATATGATGAGGATCCTAAGAGCATCAAAAGCAAGATGGAGATCGATCCTGCGACACAGATGGACGCAGGATACTACGAGTGTCAAGCCAACAACAAATATGCGGTGGACAGCAAAGGATTCATGGCCGACTACTCCTTGGAGTTTGAATAACAGGCGCGTCCTTCCAGCTAGCAGGATGTTGGAGACGCGAGATACTAGACGTTAACACAAAATATTAGATGTTAACACAAAATACTCGATGTTAACTCAAAATACTCGATGTTAACACAAAATACTGGATGTTAACACAAAATACTAGATGTTGATACAAAATACTAGATGTCAACACAAAATACTGGATGTTAACACAAAATACTAGATGTTTACACAAAATATTAGATGTTAACACAAAATAATAGATGTTAACACAAAATACTAGATGTTAACACAAAATACTAGATGTTAATAAAACCTACGCCGAGAACTAAGAGAATAAACTATACTCTAGATGAACAATTAATTTATTAGAAAGAAAATAGTTGCGTCGGCTTCATGACTATTTTTTTTAAATTAGTTGCTCGGTTCCAAAAAAATATAGTACGAAATTCAATTGTTTCAACGTAAGATTTGGATAAAAAAGTTTCATAGATCAAGTTTCACCGTCAAAGTCTAGGGTTTAAAAAATAATTTCTATCTCGCATTAGAAATTTCTATAATCTGTATTTAAACCCTAACTCAACATATTTTGTGACTAAATTATTGATGAATTCTTATTTATCAAGAGGAAAAAGATTTATTTCGGTTTTTCCTACGAACCATCAGAGTATGTGCCTATAGTGTCCTTCGTGTAAGAAATCTTTCTGATTTATCTTTAGCTTAAGAATTTTTACCGTAGTCATATAATCATTATATGTGTATCATCGAAGTATTATCTTGCATCATATATAGCACTGACGATTTAGTATCATTAGATCAATAAGTAATATATGTGATAAACTCATAGGCGTACTTTATGTTACGTAAGGAAATATATAAATCTTGTATATTGAAAAATTAATAAAAATCAAGCTGCAAGCGCCGATGTCAATTTAGGATGAATGTTACAACATATAAAGCATGTTTTCAGGGTCCAGTAATATAGGGCTATTCAATATAAAAATACGTTCTCAATATACTCGAACGTTATTCTATTGTCTTATTCAACGTATGCAACTATAGTGGCATTTCCCAGGAATGAATAAGCTGGTCGTAACAACCGTTTATATCTCCCATTGTAGACTATGCTACATTTAATTCATAGTCTGTGAGACAAATAATAATTATTCATAGTATATTAGATAAATAATTATTCCTGGTCTATGAGAGAAATAATTATTCTTTGTAAGCTAAACTGGAAACGAAATATAGAGTTTCTGTTTTTGCCATAACCTGTTAAATTAACCTACAACATTTTCCTATTCATGCATATTTTAGCCACCACTCACGTATGGTCTCTATTCTCATGACTATAGAACAGCCAAAAGAGCTTATTTTACATTAAAAAAATTCATTTTCTGTAAAAATACCTAATTTACAGTAAAACGCTTTTTACAATAATAAGGCTTACTATACAGTAATAAGGGTTCCTGTACAGTAAAGATGCTTACTTCACAGTAATACGGCTTACTTTACAGTAATAAGGCTTACTATACAGTAGTAAGGGTTACTTTACAGTAAAGATGCTTACTTCACAGTAATACGGCTTACTTTACAGTAATAAGGCTTACTATACAGTAGTAAGGGTTACTTTACAGTAAAAATATTCATTTACCATTGAAAATGACAATTTTAATTTAGAAATGTAATTTTTCATGAAAAATTCCTATATTACATTCAATAGTCTCACTTTACAATTAGAATGTTCGTTTTACAATAAAAATGCATATTCTCAGCAAACTGGGAATAACCTCAAACAAATTTTTCAAATACATGAATAATATGTCAGCAACTAGAATTGTGTTTGCATTTTGCATAGTACATTCAATGCACGAATTGAATGAAAAAATGTTCATATTCAACTCGACTGGTCTTCTCTTTCATCAGAACAAACGAGATAATAATCAAACCTTATCAAAATGTGCACTAAATCCGCACCAGAAGTCAGAACTAGAACTTAAGCATTTCATTCGCACCAGAAGTCAGAATTTGAACTTAAGCAGTTCATTCGCACCAGAAGTCAGAACTAGAACTTAAGCAGTTCATTCGCACCAGAAGTCAGACCTAGTACTTGAGCAGTCCTCCGCACTAGAAGTCTGAACTAGGACTCGAGCGAGTTCTAGAACTGCAAATAAAGTTTAGCTGTTCATTTGCGTTAGAAGAACAGTAGTAAATATTATATAGAACACGTAAAAAAAACAACCTCAACGATGAAGGTTTTTAGCGCATTGTCTCATTTATGGAAAAAATGCACTATTGTGCTCGCCATTTCCGTCTGTCTGTCCGTCCGTGACTTCACGTTTTCGTCGACGAGAAAATGCGCTCAGTCACTCACTGCAGTGAGTACTGAGTTATATTTTTATTTGCAGTACGGCTGAGCGCGGGATACTGACAGCACTGTCGTGCTTCACGATAATAATCACTAAAAAACATAAAGAAACATAATTTTTATTACGAACATTCTCAAAACCTTTCATTACGAGGGATGAAACTAACCACCAATTTAAACACTATATATACACGGGAAGTTCCCAGTCAGTTCGACCATTGGGCGTGCATTTACCTCAAGCATCATAATCATCAGCATATTCAAGCTGAATTAGGGCAGTTACTGTAATAATGCTGGTGTAATTCGGCGCGGTTACTGTAATAAATATTAGGGCAGTTACTGTAATAATGCTGGGGTAATTAGGTGTGGTTACTGCGATAAATATTAGGAGCAGTTACCGCAATAATACTGAGGTAATTAGGTGCGGTTACTGCAATAAATATTAGGAGCATTTACCGTAAAAATAATGGGATAATTAAGCGCAGTTACTGCATAAAAACTAGGGTAATAAGGCGCAGTTACTGCAGCAAAACTGAGGTAATTAGGCGCAGTTACTGCACCAAGACTGGGGTAATTAGAGGCAGTTACTGCAGCAAAACTGGGGTAATTAGGGGCAGTTACTGCAGCAAAACTGGGGTAATTAGGGGCAGTTACTGCAGCAAAATTGGGGTAATTAGGGGCAGTTACTGCAGCAAAACTGGGGTAATTAGGGGCAGTTACTGCAGCAAAACTGGGGTAATTAGGGGCAGTTACTGCAGCAAAATTGGGGTAATTAGGGGCAGTTACTGCAGCAAAACTGGGGTAATTAGGGGCAGTTACTGCAGCAAAACTGGGGTAATTAGGGGCAGTTACTGCAGCAAAACTGNTGCTATCGCGGGATAACAAGCGAGTTGACCCTGCTATCGCGGGATAACAAGCGAGTTGATCCTGCTATCGCGGGATAACAAGCGAGTTGACCCTGCTGACGCCACGTGAGGTAGAGTGGAAGCGACATAATTGAGATCGGTAAATGAAAGAAACTAATTAATTAACATCATAACAAGTTATTCTCCAACGTTCATCCCATTGAAAAACGCATAATTGAAGCAAGAAACATAATACAACGAAGCGTCGCACTTAAAAAATAAAAATTTGAATGCTAAATTAATGAATACGTTCCTCTATTATAGCTTATGAGATTTGATTGTTAAAAGATTTCTATCCTAAAAATATCCTTTGGGCAGAGCGAAATTTCCCGGATGATAAAGAGATGCAGAACCTGCCGATGATGACACGCATCATCTGCGCATGTTTTGTTCTTGCTATCTATGCGTGATCAATGCATGCTTGCGCTATCATTGCGTGATCACTAACATAGCGTGATGACTGCATGCTTGCGCTATCATTGCGTGATCACTAACATAGCGTGATGACTGCATGCTTGCGCTATCATTTACAAACCCTACAAATTGGGTGAATAGGGTTGGGCTCACTCAGAGGCAGGTGAATAGGGTTGGGCTCACTCAAAGCCAGGATAACAAGGTGGGCTAATTTAGGGCTTATTATGATATTATGATCAAGGTGGACTAATTTAGGGCTTGTCATGTACAAGGTGGGCTCATTTGAAGCCATATTGACAAGGTGGGCTCATTAGGGCTTAGATGATCAAGGTGGGCTCAATCAGGGCCAGGGTAACAAGGTGGACTCATTTGTGGCCAGGTTAACAAGTTGGGCTCATTCAAAGTCAGGTTAACAAGGTGGGCTCATTAAGGCTGTTGGTAATTCGGTTGCCAAGGTAACTGCTGAGCCCTGGTAACCTAATTAACAGGGACGTTTAACGGCTCGCTGGACGGTCAAAACAAACCTTGTTAAGTGTGCACATTACATCATTTATTCATTTAATTAAACCGTCATCTAACTCAAATAATGTTAGAAAACATAGTCGACTTATGAGAGGCCATACACGGTCTAGCTTTGGCCACCTGTAATGAAAAAGCCAATTTTAGTGTGAGCGTGAGACTAATTTTATTGTATTGTATGTATTTACACACATACATAAAGTACAAACCGTACTTATTCTATTATTACAAGTACCTATTTACACAGCAGTTATTCTACTTATTACAAACTTATTGGTATACTACCCGATGCATTTTGATGTATTTCACGGTTAACTAGTATTAGTAATAAAACTATTAATAGTTCTATTCAATTATTCAACAATAAATAACTGAAGTTCAGTAGTAATGAAGGTTTTCATTCGGATTTAGGTCGCAGCCGATGAGATATGAATTGATAATGAATCGCCATCGATGAGGATCGATTCAACAACACGGTTCGAAAAAACAGTGAAAAAATATAACTCAGTACTAACTGCAGTGAGTGACAGAGAGCGCATTTTCTCGTCCGTACGTGACGTGAAGTCACGGACGGACGTCACGGACGGACATGACGAGCACAATAGCTCCATTTTTTCCATAAATGAGAAAATGCGCTAAAAACGGTCTTACCTCGGTTCTAATAACCAGCCGGCACGTGAAAATGGACCGTTTCGCCATTTTTTTAAATGTTACACAGATTTCTAGTGTAAAATTGGAATAAAAACGGCGACACGGTGTTTATTTTCACGTGCCGGCCGGTCACTGAAACGCCCATAATACCGTTTAACGGTGATTTTTTCTAACAGTGCGATTTTGCATCCGAATAAATTGAAATACAAATACTTTTCATGCTAACTATAATTTAATGAATCTTAAAGACAATCGAGATTAAAAAAATAGATAATAAAAACTGATATTTAATTCATTTGTTCATTAAAATTTCTAATGCACAACGTCAACGACGTGTTCGGAAGCCTGTAACATTTTTTAACTGATTTCATTAAGCTCACCCACCCGATAACGAAAACATTTTTGAGGTTAGAACGAACACTAGTAATGTGTTACGCAATCATTATTCAACAAATAAAAATGTATATTATGCGCAAAATCAATCACGTGAATGCGGTGCAGCGAGCGTAAATCGCATCCTATTTAACGCAATTTGTGTAAAGCCTTCATACGTAAGTAATAAATAGTACAATATATAGTTTAAATGATATGTAGCCGAGTTTAAAATCGAGTTCTTAAACTCACGATCACAATTGCAAAATTATTTTCATTTTTTTTTTGCGCATGTGTCGCAAAAAAAATCAAGATTTCAGAAGAAATCCTCAGTTTTATTTCGATCAAAGCAATTTGGGAAAAGTTAAGATTAACACATTCATTTAACTTGAAATTTCCAGGTAGTAATCAAAACACGGAGAAGCAAACAGAACAAGCATAGCTAAGCGATGAAAGTAGCAACAATACATAGGATGAATTGCATTATACAATGAATGCAATGAATTTCATTCATACAGTGAATGACGGTATATACGTCAGTTGAAGCGTTTCGATAAATAATTCATTTGTAAACTGATATTAAGACAATGAGCATTAATTTTTATCTCACTATTTAAATGATGACAGTTCAGGGTCGGAATGTTTTTCACATATTTCTTTTTTGATGGAATTTTTCGAGTGAATTTTCGATTCGTTCACATACGGTAAAGATAATTGATGTTAGATATTAACAAGATTTTTCTTTACTAAAACTCTTGAGAGATAACTTATATCTGCATGTGAACTCGCACGACATTTTTGTACATTAGTATCGACGCTGGCTGATAGTATGAACAAAGTTCAAAACTTTCTTATCTTGAAAAATTTCAAAAGTTTTCAAACTAATTAACTGCATTTGTCAGTGGATTAGCTGATTGCACATCCAACAATCATAGACGAGCGTTTTTATAACCAAAAAATCTTAGTCGCATCCATAGTAAGTATATTTACTAACTCAGATGCTGCACTGTTCGAAAAAAACAGTGAAAAAACGGTCTTAACGACGTTCTAGAAACAAGCCGCCCCATGAAAATAAACCGTTTTGCCGTTTTTCAGAGGATACTCGGGTTTCTAGTGTAAAATTGGAATAAAAACGGCAACACGGTGTTTATTTTTACGTGCCTGCCGGTTACTGAAACGCCGGTAATAACCGTTTAATTGTGATTTTTCTTACAGTGCATGGGTGAACATGGCCAAGCTAATCGTTAGGGGGCGGATTTCACAGGATAAATCACGACTTCATCACGTCAATTGCACGATTTAATGGTGATTTTTCTTACAGTGCATGGGTGAACATGGCAAAGCTAATCGTTAGGGGGCGGATTTCACAGGATAAATCACTTCATCACGTCAATTGCACGATTTAATGGTGATTTTTCTTACATTTCATGGGTGAACATGGTCAAGCTAATCGTTAGGGGGCGGATTTCACAGGATAAATCACGTCTTCATCATGTCAATTGCACGATAAGAGAAGGACAAAGCCCCGGCCAAAATAAAGGATGACGAGCCTAACAACCAGCATCCTGTGGCGGCTGAAGCAGCCCCTGACACAGACCTCAACCAGTCTCTGTGTAGATCACGTAGGTAATACAGAGCTGGTTCACACATTGTATATTGCACCGTGCAACTCTAGGTGCAGTTACATTACGGCCGTGTTCATTTCCTACCACGTAGGTAATACGGTGCACATTGTATATTGCACCGTGTATTTCTCGGTACAGTTACATTACAGCCGTGTTTATTTTCGAACCCCGTAGGCAATACGGCACTGGTTTGCACACCGTGTATTTCTCGGTACAGTTACATTACGGCCGTGTTTATTTTCTAACCACGTAGGTAATACGGTGCACATTGTATATTGCACCGTGTATCTCTAGGTACAGTTACATTACAACCGTGTTCATTTTCTAACCACTTAAGTAATACGGCACTGGTTTGCCCATTGTGTATTACGCCGAGAAAACGCGGACAAATTTACATTACGGCCGTATCTTTACTTTCTGATTTACGGTGAGTGAAACACGGGTTGTGCTGTGTATACCATGAGAAAATTCGCTGTGTATACCACGTGAAACATAAGGTCCAAAGGTCCAAGGGCGGTTGAATGCAAATGTTCAAGTTCGCCATTAGTATTTGCGATACCAATTTGAAGCAGAACCAGTAATACTAGTATCGTACATAAATAATTCATTTGTTAAAAGTATATTATAAGGGTTCTCATTATATTTCTCCTGACAAATTATATATTAAAGTTCCAAGAGACCAGCCTCTATTATAATGTTTCTCACTAATTGTTAGAAACAATATTAAACTTCAATAATAATCAGGAGCTACAGTATCAAACTTCAGCTTCCAATAACCAAACTCAAGCTTCAGAAGTTCGCTTTTTTAAACTTTTTCCGATTTATTTTTAAGAGCTTCAAGCCAACGGAGATCTTATAGGTTGTTATCAAATTAAGGCCATAATAATATCCTTGAATATATTTTTGTTATGAATAAAACCAGACATAAAAATCAAGGAATTCATAGACATTTTTACCAGTGAAATTCTGCGTGATTAATGGGAGCATTTGCCGAAAAAAAAACAATTGGAAAAGGCGCAAAAACTTTAACGTAAAATAAAAATAAACGAATAAATTAAGACTTAGAAATGAATGACATATGGAAGAAAGCGTTTTAAATGTTGTTTACAGTGTATTGAACTTATTCAAACAACTACAAAAGAATCAAGAACAATATCCAAGAAGTCTTGCATGCTGAATACGTAACTACCGTTTCACGCATTAATTAGCTGAGATTTATCTAAATACGTGTTGTGTTTCAGTGATCAAACGTCTAATTGGAACGGTTGAGTAAGATATTTACATTTTTCCTGTGAAAATTGCATTTAAAAACAAAAGACTTCATTGTTTGCTGGTCATTAATTCCCGGAAAGTTTTAAAATAATAACGTATTTTTACAGATTTTTTTTCACTTAATTAAATGGGGGCATTTATTATCATCACGGAGCAGACAGAAAATGATTTGCCAAGCAAACAAAAAACAAAATATTTCTGAAGATATCGACTACAGCGTCTTTACAGGCTCAGCAAAAGCGAAGCCAGTCTGCATTTTCCATCCAAGTTCACTCCCACGCAAAGTTCGCTCGCAATCTTCACTACGCAGAAGCACTAAAAACTCGAAAATATCAGTTAATGCATATTTTCCAAATTCAAAACATACTCAAAATGCACAACCATCGCAGGCCAGCCATTTTGGTGGACTAATAACGCCAGTTGATGCTGCAGTTTCAAGAACAGAACCGATTAAAGTATCTTCACCTTGCGATCAAGTTCAAAGAACCAAAAATTCGACTCGGGAATTCTCGGAAAGACATTTTATGCATGGAAGAAGCGTTTGTCATTCCATTAACAAAAGTCTGAGACGTCCGCTCAAAACGCACGTAAAATTCCTAATCATATTGGCAATTTTTATCATTACTTTAGGAAACCCATTTTGTAATTTAGGAGATTTACCAGGAGACGGTGACTTCTTTTCAATTTTGCCCAGCCATGAAGCAATAAATTTTCAGCGTCAAGCACCAAATTTGGCGAAAGAAAGACATGGCAGGATGTCATGTACACAATTCCCGACAACAACCAGTCCAGTTTTAAGTGAACGTTTCCTGGAGATGCTCATTCGAAGGGGTAGGAATCGTAAATATTCTTACACTAAACTCCACCACCATAACCAAGTACAAAATCTTCGAGAAAATGGAACGGATTCATTCGAAATTATGCTGCTTCGGAGTTCAAAAACTGGATTAAAAACATTCGGATTTTCACAACGGGAAACTGGACTAGGTTTGACTAAGCCATTCCAACATTATCGAACATCGAATCTTGGAACGTTACCGTACCTGGTATCGCATTATGGTAACGGACTCAGTAATTCGGTCGGCTTAAGATCCGACTTATCAGTCGAACACAGTTACCAAATAAATGTGGAAGTTCTTGATATGTTAACTCGAAAAATTCCTTCTAAGTGCAACGGAGTAAATAATCTCTATTTGAAGAGAGAAATAAACTTCAAGACGAAGAAAGAAAAACTGCGAAAAGGATCAGAAAATAATTCAAGCAATGTTCTAACGCTCAATAATCAACGTGTACCGATAAAAAAGTACCAGAAAAGGATGTATAAACCCACACTAAATGTCTCGAAGATCAATAAACAACAAGTATTAATCAAAAATTACCAGAAAACGATGGATAAACCCAAACTAAATGTCTTGAAGATCAATAAACAACAAGTATTAATCAAAAATTACCAGAAAAGGTTGGATAAACCCAAACTAAATGTCTTGAAGATCAATAAACAACAAGTATTAATCAAAAATTACCAGAAAAGGTTGGATAAACCCATACTAAATGTCTTGAAGATTAATAAACAACGAATTATACGCGAGTACAGCAGAAAATTGACGGCGAGAATTGCACAAAAGGCCCCAGCAGGCAACCCTCATGGGGGGTGTGGCTGTAGCATGGCATGGGCTGGGGGAAGAATTGTGAGTGGGGGAAACATTGCCAAGCTTCCCCCGCCCTCGCGGGGACGGATCCCAATCGACGGCAAATACAAAACCGAAACCTCCAAGAAATACTACAATAACCCCAAGGTTGGAGATTTATTAAATAAGATTATTAATAAGACTATAATAAGATTATAATTAAATAAGATTACAATAAGATTAAATCAAAAATAAGACTTATAATAGCCTGAATTCTTGATTTGAAGTCCCTAGCAAAGTTGATTTGAAATTCCTCCATGATATACTGCAATAACCGAAATATTGGAATTTGATAAAATTTTATACAAATTAGCTCTATAATAAACTTGACCCTTGATTTGAACTTAGGCCTTCCAAACATGGAGACAAAAAGTCTGAATGATTTATCAGGTCTCTTAATTCTCAACGACAAAGAACAGTTTTTTAGTAAAATGCAAAGGTAAGAAACGCCGTCACTATTTCCAACAACGAAAATTAGTTAAAAATTCTTGATTGTTTGAATATTCTCCAGTTTACTCACTAATTCATTAAGGAATGCTTCATTATTTTTCCATTTATTTCCAAGTAACCTTAGGATACCTCAGAATTTGGTTACCACGTTACTCATATCATGCAAACACTCAAACAAATCAATGGTCCGCATGCTGACACACTGTCCACATAGTGACACACACAATATTGTGGACAACATTGGACATAATATTGTGTGTATATTGACACCATATTTTGTCACTAAGTGGACACAATATTGTCCACATATTGACACAGTCTTACCAATAGCACAAGCAAAAGCGCACGTAGTCAGTGATACGTCCTTTTGCCGGGCCAAACTGGATCATGATATGTACAAAGGCTGTTTGAACATGATCACTCATGATCAATCGCTGTTTGAACAAAGCCTTATACATTTTTACAAACGTGCTCATTTCTACGAGTTTTAGTATATATTAATCATCTAACGCATTTTTTAAGTGCACATCCCCCCTCCCCCACGCAGGGTGCCCGCATCACCAAGGCATCTCACTTCAACTTCCAGTACGTGCTGGGACACAAGATCGTCTTCCTGTGCGTGGCGCGGGGTAACCCTCTGCCACAAATAACTTGGTTTAAGGACGGCGTCGAACTCTACGCCCACAAGTACATGCAGGTCAGGATCCCCAATTAAATTCGGGGACCGCCTAGGGTTCGGCCGAATAGTTGTTACACTCGGCGCAGAGTCATTCTGGGTCTGCTGAGCCATCCGATCAAAATCAGTTCTCCTTTCCGACTTTATAGTCGCCTCAGAGTATGAGAAGAGCAGGCCGAGCCGAGTCATACCGAGCTAGCAAGCTGCTCAGAGGCTGCCCTTCGAACCCTGAGCCGAAGCGGACATAGAGAACTGATTTACGTGCGGCCCGAGTCCTAGGCGGTACCTAATTCACGATCGCCACCAGCTCAAAATTTAGATAGGGGACTATGACCGTTAAGGACTGTGCATGCACTAAGGACGTTAGAACTATGCATAAGAATCGTTAAGGACTATAAGGTCTGGGGCCATACATTCAAAACTCGCTAAGTGAACGTAGGTACTAACGCTCGATTTTCTTGTCTATGATTGGTGGATTTTGCTTGAAAGGCCGTCAATTATTGGCTAATGAACATACGATCTCTTAACTTTTTTGAAAGTATGGGCCCAGGACTATGACCGTTAAGGACTTTGCCTGCATTAAGGACGTTAGAACTATGCACAAGGATCGTTAAAGACTATAGGGTCAGGACTTTGATCAAAATGACTAATTTTGCCGTTTTGTAACCTGATGCATTAGTTGTAGCTAATGTTGTTCGTGCCAAAACCTTGGTGACAAGTCCTGGGAATCATCATTGTAATCATCATCTCCAATAAATGAGAATGCAGTCAACGAATCCTGGCAGCAGCAATTCCGTCAAAACCATTCGTTTTTATATCTAAAACCCAATTCATAAGTTACAATAATTCTCTTTCTTGTCATAAATGCATATATACAAATCCATTAATTCCGGGACTTTTTATACAAAACTGTTGAGAAAAAAGTTCGCGGCTTACTCAGAGAAAATATTTTCTGGTAACCGAAATTGCGCAAGTAAAGTTTCCCAAACTGCCTTTTTGCCGATGGGAATGAGAGCATTACTCTCGAAAATTTTTATTGCAGAAGGGAACATCAGAAGGCGGAATGTGTAAATTAACCTAACGTCATTTGTGCTCATAAACTAGAATTAAAGTCAGCCCCTTTTTCCCACAGCTGCACTAATGAACCCATTGACCTCTTGTTCCCCCAGCTGCACGAACGTATATCCCATAGACCTTTTATTCATTCAGCTGCATGAATGGACCCTAAGACCTCTTGTTCCTCCAGCTGCAAGAATGGACCCTAAGACCTTTAGTTCCTCCAGCTGCACGAATGGACCCTATGACCTCTTGTTCCTCCAGCTGCACGAATGGACCCGAAGACCTCTTGATCCTCCAGCTGCACGAATATCCCTAAGACCTTTTGTTCCACCAGCTGCAAAAATATCCCAAAGACCTCTTGTTCATTCAGTTGCACGAATATCTCAAAGACCTCTTGTTCCTCCAGCTGTCCGATATCTAAAAACCTCTTATTCGTCCAGCTGCACGAATGGGCCCTATAGGACCTTTTGTTCCCTAGTTGTTCGAATGGATCCAAATACCCCCAACACTTGTTGTCCCCCAGCTTCAAGAATTAACCTTAAGACCTCTCGTTCCCCCAGTTGCACGAAGTGACCCTGAGACCTATCGTTCCCCCAGCTGCACGAATGAACCTTAAGGCCTCTTGTTCCCCCAGTCGCACGAATGGACCCTAAGACCTCTTGTTCCACCAGCTGCACGAGTGGATCCTAAGATCTCTTGTTCACCCAGCTTCCCGAATTGACCCTAAGACCTCTTGTTCCCTCAGCTGCACGAACGAACCCTAAGACCTCTTGTTCCCCCAGCTGCACGAGTGGACCCTAAGACCTCTTGTTCCCCCAGCTGCACGAGTGGACCATAAGACCTCTTGTTCCCCCAGCTGCACGAGTGCACCCTAAGACCTCTTGTTCCCCCAGTTGCACGAGTGGACCAGAGGCCAAAAGCTGAAGAGTAAGATGGAGATCGACCCCGCGTCGCAGGCGGACGCTGGCATCTACGAGTGCCACGCCAACAACATGTACGCTATGGACAGCCGTGCCTTCCGCACCACATACCTCGCCGAGTTCAACTGAACCTCACATATATTATGGGGTTATAAGCCTATACCTTTTAGGTTACATCAACATTTAGGCTAAATGGTAATAAATGTAAATTTGTTATTATGAATATATTATTATTCTAGTGGAATATTATATTGAACAATTGAACCACATACCTCGCAGAGTTCAACTGAACCTCATTTATTTTTAATAATAATTATTATTGTCAATTGTAGTTATTATTCTTAGCTTATATGGGCTTCTCACCTGGAAGGTTTTATTACCCAATAGCATGTTTTTTTCTTTCTATTGAGTCGTGCTGTGTTGCTTCTGTATGTTAAAAAATAAAGAATATATTATGGGGTTATAAGCCTGTACCTATTAGGTTACATTGACAGCTATTAATGGGTAATAATTATAATTTATTTTATGATGAATTAATTATTACTATCATGAAATATTATATTGAACAATGGCAATTATTAAAGGTTGTTTTCTTAAGCCGAATTCAACTGTGCTACCAGCGTCACATATCTTAGCGTATGCACAACGTATGTAGGGCGCATAGTAAGTTGAATAGCGTACATATTAAGGCATAATTATGGAATGTATAAAATATCTTGAATTCTGAGAATATCTGCAGCTTGTAGCAATTATTATGTTTAGTTAAAGAGTTCTCTCTCTGGAGTTTGAAAACTTTAGCGTAGAGTATCTCTAGAGTATCTCAAATAGTGAGTGACCGTAAATATTCTGTTTAATTGTCTAGTGTTTCAAAGCGTATTTCTTTAGTAAAGCATGCATGAAACATTTTAAACGTCACTGAAGTAATGTCAACCACACCGTTCACTTTACTTGTAAGTAAAACTTCATGTTTTTGCAATTTCAATCGTTGGGTTTTCACTGGGAGCTACGTTATGTTTCTCCATCAGAACCCACTAAGCAGCTTGAACTGTTGGTTTAAATTAAGTTCTGGGCATTAACAATATTTAACTAAACTACAGTATTGTAATCAAAAAGATTGTTATCTCACGGCCCGCAAAGGTGTCATATTAATTAAGATTTCAACCTAAAACCTCTCAATGCTTAGTCAGCTTCTGGTCGTGTCAGAAATTTTCTTTACGTTTTTAGTGTCCTTTTAACAACTTTTTAAACAATTGTTTGATGGATTATGAAATATTTATAAATACTCAAAGATATTGTTCTCAGGAAACAACCGAAACCAATAAAGAGTCGGTTTTAAACTCCAAATTATCTTACTACAATTAATCAATGCTAAAACACTGGCAGCTACTAATGAATAGGGACTAAATATTATTATTATGAATAATGCGTATTTTGTATGAATTAGTAGACTGATTTATGGTAATTTTTAATGTAATGTTATACATCATGCTGTCTTCTGCCAACGGGATTTTACATCGAGAAGAATTTGGTGATCAGCATTTGTGGTTGACAAAGCTGAACTGCTTTAAACATCATGTATAATTGATAAATAGATAGTAATTTTAACATTGTATACAAGGAATACAATTTCGCGAATGAAGAAAACCCAATTTTCATAATCTATTGATAGCTAATAATAAGAATCTTGATTTTGGGTAATAATAATGAGTAATAAATTGTTTCGTGCAACGGAAATGTTTAGTTTTAGTTTTTAATTTAGAACATCAATTCGTATAATATCTTTTTAGTAGGTACACATTATACATGTTATGTTATATGTAGGAGGTTAGCCATGCATTAATTTTCCGGAATCGATAATACCGGCAATTTAGGAATCCCGTCATCCCGGATCCCATTAATATCAATAAAATTAACGTATGCTAATCAAATAAATATATGTATAAACCTGCATTCACTGTCAAACTCCCATTTTACTCTTTTTAAAATAAAAAATACATATTTTGCGTCTTTTAAATGAAAATCATAGTTGGCAGTTTTACACGTTGACTACGATTGCTTCATCTTGTACTATTATTTCATTTTTTTGTACTTTTTTCAAGCAGGGTTGCCAGACGGTCATTTTTTCCGGACAAATTCCGTGATTTAGTTTTTCTCAATTGCGTTGGCCGGCTAAAATTTATGATAGGGGTACTTCTTAATTAAATTTTAGATACTGCAAAAAGAAAATAAATGGAATTTTCAAAGCGGAATCTACAAATAAACTAGTATACATTGAATTATCGGCCTTTTTTGGCCTTTTTTGTTCTCGGATTTGGCCAATTTTAGGAAAATATATATTGAATTATCGGCCTTTTTTGGCCTTTTTTGTTCTCGGATTTGGCCAATTTTAGGCAACCTGAATTATGTACCACTACGTCCTGGAGAAATACATTTCGTGGTACGCATATGTACCAATACGTAGTCAACGTGTTAAAAACAGAATATTTTCAATTTGTCCTTTTTATCCCGAAACGAAAGTTTACTGAATATAAATTTAGACAAGTTTAAATAAGACAACACAAATAGCAGGCCCGAATATTTAAATTTAAAGAAAATTAAAATGATGACATATGCCTAGCACGTGTCTATTGCAATAATGCATTTCAAAAAATTATGCATACATTTTGATAACGGGATCTTATTTGATATAAAAAATTACTCGAAATATAGCCACTGAAAAACAATTTTCGAAACAAAGTTAGATCGCAAAAAGCAATAATAACAAATTTAGTTCTAAACTCACAAAAGAATTGCACAAAAATATGAATACTGTAGCTACGGGGTCACAAATATCGTTACTTAATCGAGAATTTTGGAATTAATAAATTTATAGCCAATCATTCAAGCTTCGGCAGCGAATTTCACTGGTTTTACCTGAACGTCAAACTCAACTAAATTTTCAACGTTGTTTTCACTAAATTGAAATTTTTTAACAGCATTTTACTTGGTCTTCCGAAACCTCGAAAGGTTCACTCAATTTAAAAGGTATCAAACGGAAATAAATTCTTAAAAAACGTTCGGGTTTTGAAGTTCCACCCTTCGAATGGGCTATAAAAAATTTTTACCAGATATTCTTCCCATTTAATAAAGGAAAATAATATATTATATTTTATATATAATAACCTTACATGAATGACCGAGGTTATTAAATATTATTATAAGGAAATGTTTTAATATCATATTATTATATTTTATATATTATTACATATATTATATACATATTATACATATATTATTAAAAGGAAACCTTACAATATTATGCAATGCCTATTCAAAAGCTTTCTTCCCGACGATATCGTTTCTAATGCTCGGAATAATAATACTGTGATCGTGGTCCAAGTTTCATTAAAATTCAAAAATTTATATATTCATTTTTTTCGTGCCCGTAACCATCAGAAAAACTCAAAATTTCTTATTGCATTCCAGGAAAAATAAATTTTTTCAAGTCGCTAAAAAACGATGCACGCAAAGACATATTATTTTCAATTATAAACGCAACGCATATTCAAATAAAAAATGTAAAAAGCGAAAAAATGAGCTATATAAAAAATCAACTTTCAAAAAATTACATATAAAAAGTGAATAGAATATATGAAAAAACAGAGATTTGGATTCATTTTTCTAATGGGATCCAATATGTGTGGCTCACAAGTTTAAATGTGTGTCTCATTTGATGGTCTGCTATCCACTTCAAAAGTTTAATAACATAATTAATTCTCCATGTAATGAAATTAAACTTTCAAAGAAGCAAAGACCAATAAGAGATCAGAATTTTTCGCACTTTACTTCACACTCAGTTGAATAATTTAATTTAACCGTTATTTAAATACTCTATTACTGCCGGCGTCTACATCAACGGCGTCAAGTAATCATGCACTGGGCAAGGTATATACGAGTATAATAAATGGTATCTAAAAAATAAAAGGCATTCATGATGATAATACATCTAAAAGGTGTAAGATATTCATAATCTGTGAAAATAAGGGCGAGCAATGTTGATCAATGATGACTGGCATTGCAATGCAATATCCATAATATTACTCAATATTAAAACGGTACTCAAAATTAATACGCAAATTTTGAATAGATAGGAGAACATTTTATAATCATATGCAGTCTTTAAGAAACCATTATTTACCATTAGATGAAATAATAGCATTGGATAACATCAGCTATAATAATCTGGCGACACCTGTAAACGCGTCAAAAATTTCGCGGTTAATTTGTCCGTAATTTCGCTGTAAAAAAAGTTTTTCATTTCGCTGTAAATTATGTCCGTAATTTCGCTGTAAAAAATGTTCTTAATTTCGCAATAAAAAATGTTAACAATTTCGCTGTAACAAATGTTCTTAATTTCGCTGTAAAAAAATGTCCGTAATTTCGCTGTAGAAAATGTCCGTAATGTCCGTAAGTGGTCCGCATCTTGCGTTACCGTTGCCGCTGTTGCTCTTGCCATGGACGATTCTTTTGTTGCCGTTTACGATCCTCCTGTTGCCGTTCACCTACCTCCTGTTGCCGTTGCCGTACACTTGCCTCCTGTTGCCGTCCACCTACCGTTGCCGTTGCTGTTGTCCACCTACCGTTGCCGTTGCCGTTGCTAACAACAGCATAATTGCTGTTGTACCTGTTGCCGTTGCTGTTGCCGTGCACGTATCTCCTGTTGCCGTTGACAATCTCCATGTAGTCCTGTTGCCGTTCACGTACCTCCTGTTGCCATACACGTACCTCCTGTTGCCGTTGCCGTTGCTGTTGCCGTTCACGTACCTCCTGTTGCCGTTGCCGTTGCTGTTGCCGTTCACGTACCTCCTGTTGCCGTTGCCATTGCTGTTGCCATACACGTACCTCCTGTTGCCGTTGACAATCTCCATGTAGTCCGTGGAGCGCGCGTAGAAGCCGTCGTGGGTGACCGCCCCCCAGAAGGTGGACCACGCGCGCCCCAAGCGAGTCATGATCGCCCCCAGGATGGGTCTGGGGGACCACAGCAGGTGGGTGAGAGAGAGCGATGAAGTGGGTGAGAAAATGGTGGGTATATGAGGAAGTGGGTCAGAGAGAGAGCGATCAAGTGGGTGAGTGAAGGGTGGGTATGAGAGGAGGTGGGTGAGAGAGAGCGATGAAGTGGGTGAGTGAAGGGTGTGTATGAGAGGAGGTGGGTCAGAGAGAGAGCGATCAAGTGGGTGAGTGAAGGGTGGGTATGAGAGGAAGTGGGTGAGTGAAGGGTGGGTATGAGAGGAAGTGGGTGAGAGAAGGGTGGGTATGAGAGGAGGTGGGTCAGAGAGAGAGCGATCAAGTGGGTGAGTGAAGGGTGGGTATGAAAGGAGGTGGGTGAGAGAAGGGTGGGTATGAGAGGAGGTGGGTCAGAGAGAGCGATGAAGTGGGTCAGTTGAAGAGTGGGTATGAGAGGAAATGTGCGAGTGAAAAATAAGTAGTGTTGAATCTGGTGAATTTTGAACAACAGATGGAAGATCAGTGAATAATTAATTAGCATAGCATCAATACAGACAGGAGATAATAGAGACCCCAGTCTTTCAAATCACCTCTTGTAATCACCTAGTGTCTAGAGGCCATCGATCATCACCTTATCTTAACAATCAATCCGGGATGTTTTTTAGTGCCATATCAGTTGCAATTTGATTTATTCGAAGACAAATCTAGTTGAAAGTTTGAATGTTGTCAATAATTGTAGTAATAAAGAACTTAATCATTCTACTTCCCCGACCGAGGTTAAACGAATAGTGCCAGTTTTTGTACAAAGTGGTGCCTATTTTTGTTTTGCTTGCTTGTACATAGTGGTGGCACCTAACAAAAAGTCTACATGACGTCATTCATCATTCTGCAGCATTACCCTTTCTTATGAGCTGAATACTGACATGATATCATCTGAATGCTTACAAGGTATCATCTGAATGCTGACATGACAGATCATGAGCACTTGACCAGTCAAGGCGTCTCCTGAAGGCCTACTGGGCGAACTCCCCCATTCTCAGCTTTATTGACAAGGCATTGAACAGCCTCGGTCCCACCAAGGAATAGGATCTTTCCGCTGAGATTGAAACTTGAACGCAGCTTTGTTTCGTAATAAGCGTATCTCCTAGCATTCTACCTTTTTTCGTCCAGGTATGTCACAATAGTTCAGCTCCCACAATAGTTCAGCTGGAAGCAATCCCGCTGGATCGATTCCAATTGCCGCGCTGTTCCCGACGTGAATGGGGTCCAAAGCTGGCAGCAGTATTCAAAGATAGGAATCAACAGGGCTCTGTAGATCGAGATCATCGGTTCCGCTCCTATTGTTCTGAACTTCAGTAAGATCCACATGATTTGTAGCCTGCCTCTTGCAGTTATTACCGCTATGTGATCACTAAACTTAACCTGAGTATTTATCAACACTCCGAGATCGCGAATGAATTACTTCTCTTCGATTTCCGTGCCGTCAGGTGTCATGTAGCGGTGTTCCAGCATCTTGACCTCTGTATCTCAGGACCGTTTAATTGCATGTTGCTCACTTGCTCCCAGTCATGTATTGCAAATAAGTCTTCTTTTAATTTCTCGCCACGTCCTGTCCATAATAGTCATCAGTACCCTGATGTCGTCCACGAATGACGATGCCGAGATGTGGTGGTTCACTGGCACGTCTATGTCGGCGATGAGGATGAGAAAGAGGATAGGGCTGAGTACCGTTCCCTATGGTACTCCACTCTTCACCTTCGCTTCGCTCGATCTCGAGCCTCCAACAACGACAGCTTGTAGTCTATCAGATAGGAAGTTGCGGATCCATGCGAACAATTCTCCTCCGGCCCCCATTCCTCTTATTTTTATGATGAGTATTACTTTGTCAACTTTTCAGAAGCTTCCAGAAAAGCACTACATTCACGCCGACCGAATTGGTTAATAAGATCAAAATTTGGTGGTGATGCTTCAGTAACTGGGACAAGCATAAACGATTTCGCCTGAAACCGTTTTGTCTTCTGTTGAAACGGTCAGCTTCCTCCATGTACTGTACCAACCTTAAAAGGTACGACCATATCAAAAACCTTGATTACATATGATGTTAATGATGTTAATGTCAACGGCCTTTGACACACCACAAATCATCATACTGCAGCATTAAACTCTATTGTGGCTGGCCTGAGGGGTGTTTTGGGAAGTTTCTGGGGATCACTTCCCCGGGTCTTCCCATGACTAACTCAGGCTCGGACTCGATCAGAAGAGCTTGGTTTTTGCTTTCCTCGCTGTTTGGACTTAGCTTTGTCCAGTAGTGTCATGGTGGCTTGCCACACATCTTACACAGCAGGATGGTACCCCACATCAGGATGGTACCACACATCAGGATGGTACTACACATCTTACACAGCACGACAGCACAGCAGCATGACAACACGGTACCTGTTGTGGTGCAGCAGCAGCTTCAGAGTGTCGGGGTTGTCGAGATGCACGTCGCCATCCACGGAGAAGAGCGCGTCGCACGCCACCGCCAGGCATTCGGTGCTGTGGAATGATCATCAATTTAATTATTGTAGTTAATTTGATTAAAATCAGTAATTTGATTATTAGTATTAATTTAATATCTCATACTTAATGGCCATTATTACAGGCATACTAGCTCATGTACCCATGCCATTCGTTGATCGATTACCGATACGAGTATGATTGATTATATTATAACTTTAATGGTGTAAGATGTTCGCATAAATATCATGACCCAACTCTTGATACAAAATATTGAGTGTTCAGTGGCTAATGCATGCTCCGTCCGCAGTAACTACAGCGGGGTCACCATTACCTACTGCGATGCCTGCAGTATCTAAAATGAGATCCACGGTCTCTACAGCAGTGTCCGCAGTATCTACTGTTATGTTCACAGTATCTACCGTGATGCCCCTAGGATCTACTGAGGTATCAGCAGTACCTACTTCGACATACACAGTGTCTACTGTCATGTCCGCAGTATCTACTGCGGTGTCCGCAGTGTCTACTGTATGTCCGCAGTATCTACTGCGGCATACACAGTGTCTACTGTCATGTCCGCAGTCTCTACTGCAGTGTCCGCAAAATCTGCAGTGATGTCCTCAGTATCTACTGCGGTGTTTGCAGTACCCAGCGCACAAAACCTACCACCCCCTAGATATCATACAATATACAGCAACAAGAAAACAGCCAACAGTACCCACTATAAAACCCATCGCACCCAGTCTTCACAAAGCCCATAGCACCCACCCAGTCCACAGCACCCACACAACACCTACTACAGCCAGAAAACAGTCCACAGCACCCAATACTTGGCCCCCGATCTCTGCTGTATCTTCGTGGGGAGACCCAGACCTGCCCTATTAGTTGGGCCCGCCCGGCGGTGAAGGATACTAGCTCCTTCCTGTGCTCCAGGTGCAGCGCCTGCACCCACAAGCGCTGCTCTGGGGCCGTATCAAAACTTCGTAAGTACGCAAAATCGACTTACGAGTGGCGTTGCTATGACAACGTAATACTAACGGTGGTATTATAAAAACATTTGCGCGGGAAAAAAATTTAGGCTTTTAGCTAAGACTTGCGTACGAAAGTTTTGATAATGCCAAAATTAGGGTGAATTTACGTACCACAGAACTTTTTTGTCGTAAGTACAAAAAGTTACGAAGTTTCGATAATCCGGCCCCTGGCCTGTAATTTGTCCGTTTCTAATGGCAGACTGAAGGACTGGTTCACCGCCAAAAATTGCCCATAGCAACTGGTAAGCCCTTCGTCACCCTTTTTATCCCTGACATATATCAATCACGTCCACATCCTTGTGCCAAAATCTGTAAGGGCATCATCGCTTTGAAAAAAAACTCCAAAAATCCTGAGAGCCCCTTGAGACACCCCACTACACGTTCTCATTTCATGTCCGTTCCGCGGTATCAAATGCGCCAAGAATCCCACACATACTAAAATTCCTAGCAGGCACCAACTTGGGGCTTTTCGAAAAGAACATCGTTGCCACTACAAGTGCACAATCCATAGCCATGCTTCCCCATCTGGCATCCGATCGCCTCCTAACCGCCTTTGCAAGCCTCAAGACGTTGCAGAGTACGTCCTTGGGGTTAACCACCGGATGACTCAGAGTGGCTCCAATCGATCACGTCCATACTGAGAAAAGAGTCCTTCCTTAATCCGCCCAACAGGAATATGCATGTTCGAAGTTTCTTGCCACCTTCATCTGGGCTCCCCATTCTTCCTTTCGTATCGTCTCTGACCCGTTCCCTAAACCAATCAATGAAGGCTCTGTTGTTATAATTCCCCATCCCGGTAGTGACGACTACTGAGCGGCTGATAAGTCAGTTTTTCAGGGAACTAAGGCCACAGGTAGTTCTTAGGACCATCACTTGACTTGCCACGACCATTTCTTTTGCATTACACAACACGCTGGACAAGCCAAGTACTCATTATCAACCAGAATAGGGTGAATGGCTGAGTTGACCTTGAGCTGAGCTTCCCGGTAGAATTTGTCCTGCGTAGGAACTTGCAGGACCGCGGCTCTATGAAGGCTTTCATCAGGTTAAGGCAAGGCCATCTCGTGGCACTTCTTTTACAGGATATCTAGCCCGCCGGCTCTCATAAAGAAAGTAATAATATTATCGAGATATTCACACACGTTACGGCGACCGCCTTATGACCTTATGACGAGTTTGGGACTTCCTAGTCCCAGGTCACGCTGATACGCCGCCTTCGTCGTCCTCCGTCTCCGAGTCGTGGCTAGGCGGGTCGCCCCGCCCTCGGGTCCCGGATGTAACGTTGGACGTGTTCCGTATATTTATATATTTGTTACGGCGCCCACCGAGACCTTCAGAATCCTGGCTGCTCCCCCAAAGGATCCCATCACCGATGAAAATGCTTTGTTATTTCATCTCTACCGCTCAGCGCGGGTGTCAGTCAGTTTTGTTCTACACTGCGGCTCCCTGGCGTCTTGTTCATCTTGGGTGGGGGAATCACCTCCAGTCCGGCCAGCATATTTCTGTCTGCCTTTCACACAACGCACCTACACCCAGTACACAGCAATATTCAGCCAGCACCCACACAGCACCTACACCCTGTATACATCACACATTACCCAGCACCTACACAGCGCCAACACCCTGTATATATCACACATCACCCACACAGCACCTACACCCTGTATACATTACCCATCACCCACACATCACCCAGCACCCAGTATACAACACCCATCACCCACACAACCCCTACACCCAGTATACATCACCCAATACCCACACAGCACCTACACCCAATATACATCACCCATCACCCACACAGCACCCTGTATACATCACTCATCACCCACACAGCACCTACACCCTGTAATACATCACCTATCACCCACACTACCTATACCTAGTATACATCACCCATCACCCACATAGCACCTACACCCTGTGCATAACATATAGCATAGCATAACACGCATCACCCAGCACTCCGTATAAATCACCCATCACCCACACCACAGCACCCAGTATACATCACCCATCACCCACACAGCGCGTGCGCGTGCGTGCCACTCCTTGAGCTTGTCGTCATGGGTGACGTGGGTGACGCTCAGGTAGCCTGCCTTCGTCGCCGCCTTCGTCCAGTTGCTGAGCAGCGCACCATGCTTAGGAACCTGCGGCAGACGTGGTGCTTAGTGGTGCGTAGTGGTGCTTAGTGGTGCTTAGTGGTGCGTAATGGTGCTTAGTGGTGCTTAGTGGTGCTTAGTGGTGCTTAGTGGTGCGTAGTGGTGCGTAGTGGTGCGTAGTGGTGCTTAGTGGTGCTTAGTGGTGCGTAGCGGTGCTTAGTGGTGCGTAGTGGCGCTTATGGTGAAGGCACAGGGTGAAGGCACTGGGTGAAGGCACAGGGTGAAGGCACAGGGTGAAGGCACAGGGTGAAGGCACAGGGTGAAGGCACAGGGTGAAGGCACAGGGTGAAGGCACAGGGTGAAGGCACAGGGTGAAGGCACAGGGTGAAGGCACAGGGTGAAGGCACAGGGTGAAGGCACAGGGTGAAGGCACAGGGTGAAGGCACAGGGTGAAGGCACAGGGTGAAGGCACAGGGTGAAGGCACAGGGTGAAGGCACAGGGTGAAGGCACAGGGTGAAGGCACAGGGTGAAGGCACAGGGTGAAGGCACAGGGTGAAGGCACAGGGTGAAGGCACAGGGTGAAGGCACAGGGTGAAGGCACAGGGTGAAGGCACAGGGTGAAGGCACAGGGTGAAGGCACAGGGTGAAGGCACAGGGTGAAGGCACAGGGTGAAGGCACAGGGTGAAGGCACAGGGTGAAGGCACAGGGTGAAGGCACAGGGTGAAGGCACAGGGTGAAGGCACAGGGTGAAGGCACAGGGTGAAGGCACAGGGTGAAGGCACAGGGTGAAGGCACAGGGTGAAGGCACAGGGTGAAGGCACAGGGTGAAGGCACAGGGTGAAGGCACAGGGTGAAGGCACAGGGTGAAGGCACAGGGTGAAGGCACAGGGTGAAGGCACAGGGTGAAGGCACAGGGTGAAGGCACAGGGTGAAGGCACAGGGTGAAGGCACAGGGTGAAGGCACTGGGTGAAGGCACTGGGTGAAGGCACTGGGTGAAGGCACTGGGTGAAGGCACTGGGTGAAGGCACTGGGTGAAGGCACTGGGTGAAGGCACTGGGTGAAGGCACTGGGTGAAGGCACTGGGTGAAGGCACTGGGTGAAGGCACTGGGTGAAGGCACTGGGTGAAGGCACTGGGTGAAGGCACTGGGTGAAGGCACTGGGTGAAGGCACTGGGTGAAGGCACTGGGTGAAGGCACTGGGTGAAGGCACTGGGTGAAGGCACTGGGTGAAGGCACTGGGTGAAGGCACTGGGTGAAGGCACTGGGTGAAGGCACTGGGTGAAGGCACTGGGTGAAGGCACTGGGTGAAGGCACTGGGTGAAGGCACTGGGTGAAGGCACTGGGTGAAGGCACTGGGTGAAGGCACTGGGTGAAGGCACTGGGTGAAGGCACTGGGTGAAGGCACTGGGTGAAGGCACTGGGTGAAGGCACTGGGTGAAGGCACTGGGTGAAGGCACTGGGTGAAGGCACTGGGTGAAGGCACTGGGTGAAGGCACTGGGTGAAGGCACTGGGTGAAGGCACTGGGTGAAGGCACTGGGTGAAGGCACTGGGTGAAGGCACTGGGTGAAGGCACTGGGTGAAGGCACTGGGTGAAGGCACTGGGTGAAGGCACTGGGTGAAGGCACTGGGTGAAGGCACTGGGTGAAGGCACTGGGTGAAGGCACTGGGTGAAGGCACTGGGTGAAGGCACTGGGTGAAGGCACTGGGTGAAGGCACTGGGTGAAGGCACTGGGTGAAGGCACTGGGTGAAGGCACTGGGTGAAGGCACTGGGTGAAGGCACTGGGTGAAGGCACTGGGTGAAGGCACTGGGTGAAGGCACTGGGTGAAGGCACTGGGTGAAGGCACTGGGTGAAGGCACTGGGTGAAGGCACTGGGTGAAGGCACTGGGTGAAGGCACTGGGTGAAGGCACTGGGTGAAGGCACTGGGTGAAGGCACTGGGTGAAGGCACTGGGTGAAGGCACTGGGTGAAGGCACTGGGTGAAGGCACTGGGTGAAGGCACTGGGTGAAGGCACAGGGTGAAGGCACAGGGTGAAGGCACATGGTAAAGGCACTGGACAAAGGCACTGGGTGAAGGCACTGGGTGAAGGCACTGGGTGAAGGCACTAGGTTAAGGCACTGGGTGAAGGCACTTGGTGAAGGCACAGGGTGAAGGCACTAGACAAAGGCACAGGGTGAAGGCACAGGGTGAAGGCACAGGGTGAAGGCACTAGATGAAGGCACTAGGTGAAGGCACACACCTGGGAGTGCAGGAACAGATGCATGCGTGTCTTAGGGTAGTCAAGACGCGCTATCTTCTGCAGCGCCTCCTCCAGGAACGGCGTCCCCGTCTCTACGAACACCGCCACCATCACCACCGGCAGCTCCGAGTCCTGTTAAGAATATTTATTAATAATATGGTTAACAATATTTGTTATTAATATTGTTAACAATGTTTATTATTAATATGGTTAACAATATTTATTATTAATATTGTTAATAATATTTATTATTAATATGGTTAACAATATTTATTATTAATATGTTTAACAATCTTTATCGTTAATGCTAAGATAATAACACATATTAACATAACATATTAAGTAACTGGGAAAACTGTAGTATAAACGGCAAAAAAAAAAATCGACAGGAAAATGGAAAGCCACTTCATAATAAAAATGAGTACAAATTTCCAGAAATTCATCTGATGAATTTCAAAATATTTAAGATAAAACCCGCGTGATAAGGAGAACGACTTGCACCCATAATGAAAAAAACTACTTTGGGTAATGGCCGAATATTACAGGAATTAATCACAGAAAATCACTGAAAAAGTTACTAAATATTGCTAAAAAATAATAAAAATTGTACTGAAAATAAATGACAAATTTAGTGAAAATAACAGAAAAAATTACTGAAAATAACAGAAAAATTTACTGAAAATAACAAAAAAAAATTACTGAAAATCGGTAAAAATTAACTGAAAATTACTAAAAATATACTGAAAATGACAAAAATTAACTGACAATTACTGAAAATTTGCTGAAAATCGGTCAAAATTTACTGAAAATTCCTAAATTCAATTTACTAAAATTCCTAAATTCACTGAAAATTACTAAAAAAAATAATGAATATAAAAAAAATTAAACGTACGTCGATATTGAAGATGTCCTTCTTTCCCTCGGCGCAGCTGAGGCAGCCCTCGTCCATCGTCCAGCTCTTGGCCAGGTAGTTGCTGAGGGACGTGAGCAACACCTGCGCAACACACGCCACACGTGAGCAACACCTGCGCAACACACGTCACACGTGAGCAACACCTGCGCAACACACGTCACACGTGAGCAACACCTGCGCAACACATGTCACACGTGAGCAACACCTGCGCAACACACGTCACACGTGAGCAACACCTGTGCAACACACGTCACACGTGAGCAACACCTGCGCAACACACATCACACGTGAGCAACACCTGCGCAACACACGTCACACAATTGCCGCACAGTTGCCAATTACCACGTATTTGCCACTCAGTCGCCATATAGTCGACGCAGTCAAAACATTGCCACACATTTGCCCCCACGGTCGCCCCGCGGTCGCCCCGCGGTCGCCCCACGGCGGCTACACGGCCGCTCCACGGCCGACCTAGTGTTGCTTCACAATTATCACACCGTCGCCCCACAGTCGCCCCACAATCACCCCACAGTCGCCCTAGTGTTGCTTCACAATTATCACACCGTCGCCCCACAGTCGCCCCACAACGGTCGCCCCACGGTCGCCCGACAGTCGCCACACCTTGGAGGGACCATTGCCGTGGATGACGACAGGCCGAGTCTGGAAGACGGTGTTGACGAGACGCGTGTCGCCAGACTTGAACTTCAGAGACACGTCCGCTGTGGCGACGAGGGGAGGACAGAGTGAGGGTAAATGAGGGTAAATTTTGTGAGGGAGGAGAGTGACGTGGTAAGTGAGGGTAAATTGTGTGATGGGAGCACAGAGTGACATGGTAAGTGAGGGTAAATTGTGTGATGGAGAGTACAGAGTAATAAAATCACTAGATTGCTTAAATCGCAAGTTTATCAGAAATTTAAAAGCAAAGAAAACAGCCAAACAGCCTTCTCATTGGCTGTTTTCCTTGCTTTTAAATTCTTGAGGGCATAGAGTGACGTGGTAAATGAGGGTAAATTGTGTGAGGGAGAGCACAGAGCGACGTGGTAAACGAGGGTAAATTGTGTGAGGGGAGTACAGAGTGAGGGTAAATGAGGGTAAATTGTGTGAGGGGGAGGACAGAGTGACGTGGTAAATGAGGGTAAATTGTGTGAGGGAGGACACAGAGTGACGTGGTAAACGAGGGTAAATTGAGTGAGGGAGAACACAGTGGCGTGGTAAACGAGGGTAAATTGAGTGAGGGAGAGCACAGAGTGACGTGGTAAATGAGGGTAAATTGTGTGAGGGAGAGCACAGAGTGGCGTGGTAAATGAGGGTAAATTGTGTGAGGGAAGGCACAGAGCGGCGTGGTAAACGAGGGTAAATTGTGTGAGGAAGAGCACAGAGTGACGTGGTAAATGAGGGTAAATTGTGTGAGGGAGGACACAGAGTGACGTGGTAAACGAGGGTAAATTGTGTGAGGAAGAGCACAGAGTGACGTGGTAAGTGAGGGTAAATTGTATGGGGGAGAGCACAGAGTGGCGTGGTAAATGAGGGTAAATTTTAATGAATGCAGTCCATTTCGAATTGACTCAAGCTCAATCAATGACTTCATAACTTGATAATAAAACAGAACAAATGAGATTTTTCAACACAATTATATAGAAAACAGAAAAAATATAACGAACAAAATATTTCAATTTTTATTCGCACGCCGAATTTAACGCAAATTTAAAAAAAAAGCGTCGGAAGACCATAAAATCCTTGAAATCAAATTACCTAATGGATCATTTTCTTTAAATTGCACATGTAGGATCCAACTGTTCAAAAAAATGAAATTCGTTAAAAAACGCATGCTTGTATTAAACTGTGTTACATGTATTTTTTAAGTTATTAATATTAAGTTTTTAAGTTCGTGGCAGCAATATTTACTCTGATCCAATTATATTTCCATTGATCTCATTGGTTAGAAATATTTCCTCTTTTTTTAATTAACTTCTAAGTTAGATTCGTAGCTGCAATATTTCCATTGACCTCATTAGTTAGAAATATTTCTTCTATTTTTAATTAACTTTTAAGTTAGATTCGTTTTAGCAATATTACAATTGATCCCATTGGTTACATAAATTCCCTCCAAACTTAAACTTTAAACTTGAACTTCAAGGAAGAAAACAAAGTTTGTACCCGAGTTGTGGTTGAGGTTCTGGAAGATCTTGCACTGGGAGTCAAGTTTGATCCCAAATTTCTCCCTGAGTTTTTGATCCACGAAGATCTTTGAGTAGTAGAGCTGGTCATCGCTGGCGGGGGGCACCGGCCCATTCAGGGAGACCAGGTCGTACAGCGTCGCCGCGTCCCCCATGAACCCTTAATGGGGTGAAATGGGGTAATGGGTGAAATTGGTTAATACGCTGAAATGGGGTTAATGGGGTTGATGGAAGTTAATGGGGTTAATGGGGTGAAATAGGTTAATGGGGTGAAATGGGTTAATGGGGTGAAATGGGGTGAAATGGGTTAATAGAGTGAAATGCTGTGCATGGGGGTGAAATGGGTTAATGGGGTGAAATGGGGTTAATGGGGTGCAATGGGGTGAAATGGGTTAATGGGGTGAAATGGGTTAATGGGGTACAAAGCAGGGTTCCCATTAACAGAAAGCTAATTGTGAATTAGATAATTTCCGCTGAATAGTTTTAATTTTTCTTGTTTATATACATGAACGTTTTTTCGTTGATGTTAGGAGTATCATCAATTTAAATAATTAATTAGGTTAAAGAAGTATAAGCGGAAGTTCGCTACATTAGAAACTAATTAGGCATTAGATGGTTAAGAGCTTAATATAATGCGAGGGAGAGCCTCTCCTTTTAAGAACATAATTAGGCATTAGGTGAGAGCTTCCCATTAGCAACCAAGTTAACCACTCAATGTGACCTTCCCATTAACGATCTCTGACAGTCTTATTTCAGCATCTATTGAAAACAATTACAGGTATGGCTGGAAGAATAATAGGAATGAATAATATAACTGAAAAGCATATAACTCCAGAAGGATAATATAACTCTGAACTATTTAACTCCAATAGGGATACTATAACTTAAAAGTACATAACTCAGGGTTAAATAACTCTAAACTATAGGTATATCTCCAGAAGGATAATATAACTCTGAACTATCTAACCCTAATGGGGAAAATATAACTTAAAAGTATATAACTCAGGTAACTTTGAACTATACGTATAACTCCAGAAGGGATAATATAACTTGAAAGTATATAACTCAGGTAACTTTGAACTATACGTATAACTCCAGAAGGGATAATATAACTTGAAAGTATATAACTCAGGTAACTTTGAACTATACGTATAACTCCAGAAGGGATAATATAACTTGAAAGTACATAACTCAGGTAACTTTGAGCTGTATAACTCCAGAAAAGATACTATAACTTAAAAGTAAATAACTCAGGGTTACATAACTCCATATTTAGTGCCCACCTCCGGAGTTGAGGAACCTGTACCCGTAGGATACCCTGGGGTAGAGGTCGGTGAGTGAAGGATCAGGCCAGCAGGATGTCTCGGCCCCGAACACCACCCGCGCCTTCAGCTTCTGGTACTTCTGTAGGAGTTCTTCAGCGCCCCCCGTGAACACCACGTCGTAGCTGGGTGAACATGATGTCGGGGAACATGATGTCGGGGAACATGATGTCGGGGAACATGATGTCGGGGAACATGATCCCAGTGAAAATTTACAGTCGCGGCAGCTTATGATTTGGATTACCAGAAGCTGGGGCGAGTCTAAATTTTGTTAGGGATGTCGGGGAACATGACTGTAGGGGAACATGATGTTGGGAACATGATATCGGGGAATATGATGTCGGGGAACATGATGTCGGGTAACATGATGTCGGGGAACATGATTGTCGGGGAACATGATGTCGAACTGTCGGGGGCCATATTTGTCAGGGAACATGACTGTCGGGGGCCATATTTGGCAGGGAACATGACTGTCGGGGGCCATATTTGTCAGGGAACATCCTTTCGTGAGAACATATTTGTCATATGTGTTTGTCAGTGAGCATTTTCGTCTTAATTTATCCCAAGGACGACACCCAATTACGAGGTGTCATGTTAATGAGGGGAATTATGGGGAGGCTTGCTGTTAGGGGAAGAGGGGAACAGGCAGGGCCGGGGGTTGTAAGCAACACCCACCTGTCGGAGAAGAGCACAACCAGGTTGCACACTGAGAGAAAAAGGCCCCCTGCTTTGAAACACTTGGGTGTTTCAAATCCTCCCCGAGCGATCGTGCCCAAACCAAAACACCCAGGTGTTTCAAAAACGTTCAGGCGTTTTAAAATATGTGATTTTGAAACACCTAGGTGTTTCAAAAGTTCGGTGCAAACAACGTTAGAACACCGAAAGTCCATGGGGTTGTAAGCAACACCCACCTGTCAGAGAACAGCACCACCAGGTTGGGGTTGTGGTTGTGGTGCTTTAGTTCCTCCCTCAGGAGGTTGATCTTCTGGCCGCCCCCCAACCCCTCCGCCATTACCCCACCCTCCCACTCCTGCCCCATCCCCAACACCTGCAAATGCACAATATATGTAAATAAATCATGTAAATGAATCAGTTAAATTAAGAATTACATCATGATAAAAATGTGCCATTTGTTTGTATGTAGGGAAATTTATTATCATATTATTATTATTGTTATTATTATTATTATGTTTGATTATAGTAAAAAAAAATGTTATTGCACAATTAGATATCAAAATATATAGCAAGATGGATAATTTCAGTGCTGCTATATTTTACCGTCATCATAATTGTGATGCTGTAACGTAGCATAGTCGTGAACTCTTTCATCCACAACACAGTCCACCACCATGTCACATCACCACACTCATTATCCATCACCACACCACATCACCACATTCATCACTCACCACCACGCCACATCACCACACTCATCACCCACCACCACATCACATCACCACACTCATCACCCACCACCACATCACATCACCACACTCATCACCACTTTCACCACCTACCACCACACCACATCACCCACCACCCAACCACTACACCTGTCTCTTATACACATCTAGNAATTAAAAATAATAGTAATTATGTAATTGATAATAATAGTAACTATGCAATTGATAATAATAGTAATTATGCAATTAATATTAATAGTAATTAATTAATAGTAATTATGTAATTGATAATAATAGTAACTATGCAATTGATAATAATAGTAATTATGCAATTAATATTAATAGTAATTAATTAATTATTAATAATATTAATTATGTAATTGATAATAATAGTAACTATGCAATTTTTAATAATAATAATCATGCAATTAATAGTAATAATAATAATAATACAATCAATAATTTTCTGTCGGTGTTTCTGTATAGTAGTCTGCAACTTCGTAGCTCTGCGGCTGAGTTTAGCTGAGCATTTTCATGTAGAGCGTTTATAAGGCTCGTTTAGGTGTTTATTTTGTATCCGACGGCTGCGCACCCGAAAAGAGATAAGTGTTGCAAGAGAGACGCGGTTTCCAATCCTTAACCTAAGGGCGGGAGCCTGTTTATCTACCCTTAACCTTTTGGCGAGTGCCTGTTTAAATTTCTTTCCTGAAACCCTTATCATGCATGAGCCCATTTATCTATCCTTAACCCTTTGGCCTGAAACCCTTGTCATGAGCCCATTTATCTATCCTGAACCCTATGGCAGGAGCCTGTTTTCTATCCTGAACCCTATGGCAGGAGCCTGTTTTCTATCCTGAAGCCTTTGGCGGGAGCCTGTTCTCTATCCTGAAACCCTTTGGCGGGAGCCTGTTTTCTACCCTGAACCCTATGGCAGGAGCCTGTTTTCCATCCTGAACCCTATGGCAGGAGCCTGTTTTCTACCCTGAACCCTATGGTGGTAGCCTGTTTTCTATCCTGAATCTCTTTGGCCGGAGCCTGTTTTCAATCCTGAAACCCTTTGGCGAGAGCCTGTTTTCTATCCTGAACCCTATGGCGGTAGCCTGTTTTCTATCCTGAACCCTATGGCCGGAGCCTGTTTTCTATCCTGAACCCTTTGGCCGGAGCCTGTTTTCTATCCTGAACTCTTTGGCGGGAGCCTGTTTTCTATCCTGAACCCTATGGCCGGAGCCTGTTATCTATCCTGAACCCTTTGGCGGGAGCCTGTTTTCTATCTTGAACCCTATCGCGGGAGCCTGTTTTCTATCCTGAACCCTTTGGCGGGAGCCTGTTTTCTATCCTGAACCCTTTGGCGGGAGCCTGTTTTCTATCCTGAACCCTATGGCGGGAGCCTGTTTTCTATCCTGAACCCTATGGCGGGAGCCTGTTTTCTACCCTGAACCCTTTGCCCGGAGCCTGTTTTCTACCCTGAACCCTTTGCCGAGTGCCTGTTTCTATCCTGAAACCCTTGTCATGAGCCCATTTATCTATCCTTAACCCTTTGGCTAGAGCCTGTTTTCTATCCTGAACCACCCAGCGCGAGCCATGCAGTTACTTATCCTAAACCGTTCAGCGAGAGCCTGTGCTCTATATAATGTAAACTAATTTTAAGAAAATTTATGCAAGATTTTTTTATTAATGAGCCCGAAGCATAGAATCGCGTCTACTACACTTAAAAAACTACACTGATGTACGTTTTTATGACATAATTACATAATTAAGAAAATTTATGCAAGATTTTTTATTAATGAGCCCAAAGCATAGAATCGCGTCTACACTTAAACAACATACACTTAAAGATAACCACAACATAAAATCGCGTCTACACTTAACACTTAAAAAACTACACTGATGTACGTATTTCTGACATAATTACATAAATAAAAATATGGACATGACATGAGAGCTCTGACATCGCAGTCGCATCGAACGTGATTTGGCTTAACTTCCATTAATAACCAAAAAAAGGACGTTTCGTATTAACAATGTGGAGAATTCGATTAACGATTTTACAATGAATATTACCAAATATTCTATATAATATCCAATGGAGATTGCACTGCAAACATCAGAAGTTCGCCTTTCGTAATCAAGTTTAAAGTGACGTCCGAAAGTTCACGTTAGCGTTTATATAAAAGGTTCAACAGATAGCACTGTAGCACATTCTTTTACAACACGAGGCAATTGATGCAGAATTTATTTATTCATATAGCGAATTTATATGAATGCATGCATCCATTCAGTATATAAATAAATGTTTAGGAAAAGAGACCTTATTTCCTGATGAAAACTAATCTCGCCGAGCCATTTTTTTCGAGTAGAATCAAAGTAGGAAGTTCAAAATATTTAGCAGCTTCTACATGGACTGCAAAAATAAAATATTACTTGAAGACAAAACTTCATAACATATTCTCAATTATTAATAATAAATTAATTATTCATCGTTTATATTTTGTGTTTCATTCAGTGAATGCAGTCATGAGACATCGTGAGATTTTGTACTGTTCTGTATAAAAATATATTATATTCTCAGAAGATATTTTTTGTAATTTTTTTAAGTTTATTAAAATTTTATTGCAAGGTTTAAGTTAATTACAATTTTATTGATCATTAATGTAGCGTTAAACGATCAAATCTATCTTGTCAATGAACAGCTGTTATCTTCACAAAAAAATACGTTCATTACAAACGACGTTGAAAAAAACGTTGATTTTGTGTTTATTTCTTTAAAAGACCGTTTAATGAACGTTATTTTGACGTCACATGCCTAAGGGTTCGAGTACCTAAGTAATAAAATATCTAGGTGCTCACTAAATAAGACTGAACACTAAGTTCTTATTAATTATCATGATACCGCAGTAAATAAGTTATTAAGTAACTAAGTAACTGTACATATTAGTGACAAGGGTGCACTTTACGGTCACTATATAAGACTGAACACTTGTTGCTTATTAATTATTATGATACCACAGTAAATTAGTAATTAAATAACTATGTAACTAAATATTTATGACAAGGGCGCACTTGGCGGGCACTATATAAGACTGAACACTAAGTGTTCTTTAATTATTATGATACCACAGTATATGAGTAATTAATTAAGAAACTAGTAACTGTACACATTTATGACAAGGGTGCACTTGGCGGTCACTAAATAAGACTGACCACTAAGTGTTTATTAATTATCATGATACAACAGTAAATAGATAATTAAGTAAGTAGTAACTGTACATATTAATGACAAGGGCGCGCCCGAGACAGCACAGATTAATTAATTACTTATTTAATAAATGAATTTATTACTTATTAAGTAAATAAGTAATTAATTAACAAAGTAGTAACTGTAAATATTTATGACGAGGGCGCGACCGAGACAGCACAGATTAATTAATTACCTATTTATTAAATCAATTTATTACTTATTAAGTAAATAAGTAATTAATTAACTAAGTAGTAACTGTAAATATTTATGACAAGGGCGCGAAGCCCCCTTTCCCCCCTCCCTCAACCGGGCTATGAGCCTCCTTTCCCCCCTCCCTCAACCGGGCTAATAGCCCCCTTTCCCTCCTCGCTCAACCGGGCTAAGACCCTCACTCCTCAACCCGGGCTAACAAAGTTCGAACTGACATAGTTAAACATAGTTGGTATTTGAACCGTTTTAATTAAGTTGTAATAATCGGTATGTGAACATTGTTGAAGCTGACATAGATGCATAGTTTAAACTGGGCTGACAACACCCCTCCCTCCCCTCCCTCAACCGGGCTAAGACCCTCACTCCTCAACCCGGGCTAACATAGTTTGAACCGACATAGTTTAACATAGTTGATTGTTAAATAGTTAAATCCTTCTCGCGCTTCTCTTCTGAACCTACGTACGTGACAGTAGATTTTGTTACCCACCCGTGGATTTTGGATTTTGTTACCTTCAGCTTGTCTTCAAATTTGCAAAATAAAAACGAATTAATGACCAATGTTATGACTTTTTTGTGACCCATTCGCAACACATATTATTATTATTATTATTATTATTATTATTATTATTATTATTATTATTATTATTATTATTATTATTATTATAGACGGAAACCCATGTTAATTATTATATATATAGCGGCCAAAATAAGATATTTTATAAGGATCCGTAGCAGTGGACTTGGAGTTAGTTTAGATTTGCATTTACCTCGTTATTAACTCGAAATTATGTAATTTGAAAAAAGTTAGATATCGACCCGACTGAAAGTTTCAGTTATCGTCGGCACTGCTGCTGTACTAACGCAAAGAATTCAAATAAAACCTTTATTTATTCAAGTACTTCTGGCTTGAGAAACACTTTTTTCGAGTTAATTTAATTAAAGACTTATGTGAAATTTTAAATGAAGAGTAGTTTAGAAGTCGTTCCCGACGGCATAGTTAACAAATCTTTGATCCGACTTAGGGTAAACTAAGGCGAACTTCAAGTTCGCAACTCAACTATCATTTTTTTGTCTTTTGTACTTTATAACAATACTGAACCACTTCTTTCTAGCGCAATCATAACAGCTTCGGAGTTATCGAACCCAACAAATCGTAGTTCTGACCAATACCTATTATATATAGTAAGGAGTGGCTAGGTAATAATAAATAAATCAAATAATTATATATAAACAAATGAATAAATAAATAAATCAAATAAAAAAGTGCAGTATCTGCTACGTAGCGACTTATGTATAGCATTGAATATAGTCGCCACATGCCAGCTAATTTGAAAGCTCAGGTACGAATAGCATTGTGGTAATAATACCGTACTTGTTTGGGTTAGTTAAAACTGATATTTTCTATTGATGTATAGCAAAATCTTTTTGAACTTACAATTCCTAGCAAGAATATTTCTGCATTATATTTAGCATTTGTCAGAAATATTCTGACAAATTAGCATCTGTAGCTTAGCATATAGACTGTCAAATTTAATTCATAGCTCAGGTAGGAATAGCATTGTGGACTAAGACCAAACATTATGCGCCGGTCAACATTAAATTAAATTGAGTAAAAATTATTTAAAGAAATTCATGTTAATTTAATGTTAAATTCATCTTAATTTAATGTTGAATTTATCTTAATTTAATGTTAAATTCATGTTAATTTAATTCAAATAAAATCAAGGAAATTCATGTAACGTTTTAATCATCAAGATGAATAATGCGTTATAAATAATTGTATCGTTTGTTCAGGCAATTACGGGAAGTAAATCAGGATAAATATAAACGAATGAATAATAAATATTGGCAAAAATTGTACCGGTTAATAGTTGATGAAAACAAAATGTACAATAAAAATATTTAAGCAATAAAAGGCGAGAAAACATGACAGGCGAGAGGAGGGTACAAGGGACAGGCGAGGGGAGGGTACAAGGGACAGGCGAGAGGAGGGTACAAGGGACAGGTGAGGGGAGGGTACAAGGGACAGGCGAGGGGAGGGTACAAGGGACAGGCGAGGGGAGGGTACAAGGGACAGGCGAGGGGAGGGTACAAGGGACAGGCGAGGGGAGGGTACAAGGGACAGGCGAGGGGAGGGTACAAGGGACAGGCGAGGGGAGGGTACAAGGGACAGGCGAGGGGAGGGTACAAGGGACAGGCGAGGGGAGGGTACAAGGGACAGGCGAGGGGAGGGTACAAGGGACAGGCGAGGGGAGGGTACAAGGGACAGGCGAGGGGAGGGTACAAGGGACAGGCGAGGGGAGGGTACAAGGGACAGGCGAGGGGAGGGTACAAGGGACAGGCGAGGGGAGGGTACAAGGGACAGGCGAGGGGAGGGTACAAGGGACAGGCGAGGGGAGGGTACAAGGGACAGGCGAGGGGAGGGTACAAGGGACAGGCGAGGGGAGGGTACAAGGGACAGGCGAGGGGAGGGTACAAGGGACAGGCGAGGGGAGGGTACAAGGGACAGGCGAGGGGAGGGTACAAGGGACAGGCGAGGGGAGGGTACAAGGGACAGGCGAGGGGAGGGTACAAGGGACAGGCGAGGGGAGGGTACAAGGGACAGGCGAGGGGAGGGTACAAGGGACAGGCGAGGGGAGGGTACAAGGGACAGGCGTGGGAGGGGAAACAAGTACACAGGGCAATATACAGGGCGAGGCTCAGATCACACAGAACCTCGTCTGTTTGACGTTCCCACACAGCAGCGGCGTGCCCTCGGTGTTCGCAACAGAGACTAAGGCTTCGACTTCACTAGAAACTTCGAGAAATGTTTGCCGAAAACTTAAACTATATATTTATAATTTAAAACTAGTAAAAGACAACAATTTTTGTAGAATGCTAGAATAATCTCATAAAACGCCGTAAAACACAAAGAAAGAACATTACCATCACACCGAAGTCAGGATGACAATGAAACGAACAAACTTTAAAACGAACATAAACAAACTTTAACAAGATGCAACGTGCTCATATCACTACTAATGGATAAAATAAAAAAGAAATATAACACCCACCTTTCTTTTCTTCACATAATGCCAGCGAAAAGAGCCACAGTGAGCATATGGCTAACAGTGAAGCATATACCATAGAAGTCATGGCGCCAGCAGAGCAGCACACTCCTCCCTCGGTCACAGTCAAAGAGACACTGAAGAGTGAAGACTGAACCGTCCGGTCCGGGGCCCAGAACAACGGACGACATTCGCCGACGGGCAATGATGCTGCAAGAAAAAATAATGAAACAAAACCATTTTTCCTCGCCGAATTTAGATCGTATATAAGTACTTATATTATCAGTCTACTTGTATCGCAAGTTCACAAGGAATTTAAAAGCAAAGAAAACGCCAAGAAAATTCCCCATATCGATATTGAATATAGACATGGTAAATTTTCTTGGCGTTTTCTTTGGTTTTTGAATTCCTTGAAAACCATTTTTTATAATCGCTTTGCTGTGCAGTAACATTATTTGTTATTATTCAAGTTACAGTCTGACGTCAACGTGATTGCTAAGTCGCGAAACGCGTCTGAACACATCACATGTAGTTGATTTTAACTCGTAAATAATATTTTGAAATACATACATACATTCCACATTCCCATACAATCTTCTTTCATTTTTAACTTGTATAAAAATTGCACATTCTGACAACTTCATCTTCTATAGAAAATCTACGTACAATACATAACTGTTAAGAATCACAGTTATGTAATCTAACTGACTTATATGTAATCTAACTGTCTAAAATGTTATTTAATTGTCTAAAATGTTTCTTAACTGTCTAAAATGTTATCTAACTGTCTAAAATGTAATGTAACTGTCTAATCTAACCCGTTTAAGCTATCATAAACTTACAGTTCGGAAATCTCTGTTGCTTCTTAGTTTACAATAATTAATTTAATTTTTTTTATTCATTTATATTTCACAGTTAAGCATCACGCTTTTTCCCATCATCGCTAATCATCTCATCCATAATCGCTAATCATCTTGCCCATCATTGCTAATCATCTCACCCATCATTGTTAATCATCTCACCCATCATTGCTAATCATCTTGCCCATCATTGCTAATCATCTTGCACATCATCGCTAATCATCTCACTCATCATTGCTAATCATCTCGCCCATCATTGCTAATCATCTCACTTATCATTCGTTACTCAAGACGCGCGTTCACGTGGCCGAGATTTCCAAGATTTTCCCACGTTCGTCGCGGCGTGGACGTGGGAAAAATGGCGATCCGTGGGATATTTTGTCCACGTGTGGGAAATGTGGGAAACTCAGTCACTTATTCGCCCGTTCTGACAGTTACAAGCCAAGCATTGCTCGCAAAGACTATTGTTGAAGCCGCAAATAGTTTATATTTGCTGAGGAAAACTTAGGAAAAGGATAAATTTAAAATGAACAAATTTAGGAGAGGAACAAACTTAAGTAAGGAACAAATTTAGGAAAGGAACAAATTTAAGAAAAGGACTAACTTAAAAGAAATGAACAAATTTAGGAAAGGAACAAACTTAAGTAAGGAACAAATTTAGGAAAGGAACAAATTTAAGAAAAGGACTAACTTAAAAGAAATGAACAAATTTAGGAAAGGAACAAACTTAAGTAAGGAACAAATTTAGGAAAGGAACAAATTTAGGAAAAGGACAAACTTAAGAAAGTAACAAATTTAGGAAAGGAACAAATTTAAGAAAAAGGACAAATTTAGGAAAAGAACAAACTTAAATAAGGAACAAATTTAGGGAATGGACAAATTTAGGAAAAGAACAAATTTAGGAAAGGAACAAACTTAAATAAGGAACAAATTTAGAAAAGAAACAAATTTAGGAAAGAAACAACTTAAGTAAGGAACAAATTTAAGAAAGGAACATATCTAGGAATTGAACTAACTTAAGTGAGGAACAAATTTAGGAAAGGAACAAACTTAAGTAAGGAACAAATTTAGGAAAGGAACAAACTTAAGTAAGAAACAAATTTTGGAATGGAGCAAACATAAGTAAGGAAAAAAAATTTAGGAAAGGAACAAACTTATGAAAGGAACAAATTTAGGAAAGAAACAAACTCAAATAAGGAACAAATTTCGGAAAGGAACAAACTTGTAAGGAACAAATTTAGGAACGGAACAAACTTAGGAATGGAACAAACTTGTAAGGAACAAATTTAGGAAAGAAACAAAATTCGGAAAGGAACAAATTTAGGAAAGTAACAAACTAAAGTAAGGAACAAATTTCGGAAAGGAACAACTTTACATAGGAACAAAGTTAAGTAAGAAACAAATTTAGGAAGTTACTAATAAACCCAGGAAAACAAAGGTTTATCTTGCTGAAAATTATAAATTTTACACACCAATTCAGCGCTGGTTGAGCTGAAATGTAGATTCAGTGTTTATTTGCAGCATAAGCGCTGTAAAAATACTTCCGTAGTCCCTGCCAAAAGTAACGTCAAACATTAATAGTGACATTTATATCTCTTTTTTTAACAGTAGCATAAAGTTTTTTTGCTAAAAAAGCAAACGACTGTTGTAATTAACAGAAAAAATGTGTTATATTTCCGGATATCAACATTTCAACTTGTTTCATTCTGTTAAATGTCCGTAATAACAATCAACAGTAATTCCCAAGGAATGATGATTTTGCTAAGGTTATTCACTATCAATAATCTATACCTCATATAGCATCGTTATAATTTATAAATAAATTTATAATAAAACTTGTTTCAATGTTTTAGATCCCTACACATCACCAACCCGCTCAAAATACTGAACTTCGCTACCATATTTTTTTCAATGTTGGTCAGATAAAATATATATACCCTGCTAACGACATGTACGGTTATATTATATATATTATCAAATTAAATTTGGTTTTCGCTCTAAATACGACATGTACGGTTATGTTGTATATAATAAATTAAATTCGTCTTTCAAATTAAATAACGCACTCAAAGTTAAAAACCAAGCCGGTTTTCAACAATCGCCGGTCATTTTGGAGTGACGTTTGCACCGGTTAGGTTAAAAAACCGGGACCGGTTTTTCCAGAAGTTAAACTGTACAACCGGCACGCGTCTGCGCTGCAACCGCTGTGAAGGTTAGTGACCGGCGAAATAAAACTTTTGCAAGAAGATTTTCCCTTTCAAATTAATTAATAATTTATCCTATATCTTTTAACGTTTTATTTACTAACAGGAAGGGGGCCCTGTGATAAAACTAAAAAGATTTTCGCTCTCGAATTAATTAATTATTATCTTGTATCTTTAACGTTTGATTTATTAACAGGAAGGGGGCCCTGAGATAAAACTAAAAAGATTATCCCTTTCAAATTAATTCATTATTTATCCTATATCTTTTTAACGTTTTATTTCTTAACAGGACGGGGGCCCTGAGATAAAACTAAAAAGGTTTTCCCTTTCAAATTAATTATTTATCCTATATCTTTTTAACGTTTTATTTACTAACAGGAAGGGGGCCCTGAGATAATACTAAAAAGATTTTCCCTTTAAAATTAATTAATTATTTATCCTATATTTTTTTAACGTTTTGTTTATTAACAGGAAGGGGCACTGAGATAAAACTAAAAAGATTACCCCTCTCAAATTAATTAATTATTTATCCTATATCTTTTTAACGTTTTATTTATTAACAGGAAGGAGGCCCTGAGATATAACTAAAAAGATTTTCCCTTTCAAATTAATTAATTATTTATCCTATATCTTTTTAACGTTTTGTTTATTAGCATGAGGTGGCCTAGTATTTAACATCAACAACATTGGACCGGTGAGTCGGGGGTTCGAAACCTGCAACTGGCTGTGAAGGTCGGTGACCTGGCAAATCTATCCAGCCCTTCGAAATTAACATTTTCTTGCCTATCTACCGTTAAATTGTATTTTTTTATTGTTAAATCACATATGTACATGATATTTAATCCCTTAAGTCCTTCTTGATTTAACACATTAACATTATAATTAGCAGTTTAGTGTCTGATTAGCCTTGTACTGTCTGATTAGCCTTGTACTGTCTGATTGGCCTTGTACTGTCTAATTAGCCTTGTACTGTCTAATTAGCCTTGTACTGTCTACTTAGCCTTGTACTGTCTAATTAGCCTTGTACTGTCTNTACTGTCTAAGTAGCAGTTTACTGTCTGATTTGCCCTGTACTGTCTAAGTAGCAGTTTACTGTCTGATTTGCCCTGTACTGTCTAAGTAGCAGTTTACTGTCTGATTTGCCCTGTACTGTCTAAGTAGCAGTTTACTGTCTGATTTGCCCTGTACTGTCTAAGTAGCAGTTTACTGTCTGATTTGCCCTGTACTGTCTAAGTAGCAGTTTACTGTCTGATTTGCCCTGTACTGTCTAAGTAGCAGTTTACTGTCTGATTTGCCCTGTACTGTCTAAGTAGCAGTTTACTGTCACATCAACTCTTCACTGTCGGACAAACCCTTAGTTCTCAGGTTCCTCCTTTAATTACACTTGTCTCTTCCGTCTTCCATATAAACTTATTAATTTGACACATTAATTTTTATTGATAGCGCAATAAATTCATGTCTTAACAACAACAAAGCAATGTTTTTTTTAATTACTAACAGGGTTCTGCTATAAATTTTTAAATATACCGAACATTTTACACAAGAAAAACTTTGTTTTATTTAAAATTTACGCGAAATTTTTTACGTATCCCTGTCATAGTTGGCGAAGCTAATTATTAATGGTTAATATTATTATTACTTGTATAATTATATAATTATATCACCAATAATTATTAATACACGTGGTAAAATGAATGCGTCAATTTGTTTAAATAGTGATTTGTCTTGCACGTAGCACGGATGCGTCCTTTTACCAGGCCCTTCCCGGAGGCAAATAGTGCTTCGTTATTTGGACAAAAAATTACTGGTTTTTCTGAGTGTAATATTTCCTGTTACCAGCCCCCGAGATACATAATTCGAATTTTAATATTCTACAATTATGGATGAAGTTCTACTAATACCTAAATATGCTCAAAAAATGCTGAAATATTATATTAAAACTTATAAAAACTTGTATTATTCTAGAATTGTGGATGAAATTCTCCAGATACCTGAATATAATCTAACAATGCTGAAATCTTCTTTTAAAACTGTAATAAAAATTTGTTATATTCTAGAATTATGGATGAAATTCTCCAGATACCTGAATATAATCGAACAATGCTGAAATATTCTATTAAAATTATTCTAAAAACTTGCATGATCATTGAGGTCAAATAAAAAATTTCCGGCGTAGGAAATGCAAAAGTTTTTCAATAACTTTTTCTAAATATCATTAAATATGACTAACATCAACAAAATTCATCTTCATTTTGTATAAACTGATAAAAAAGAATAAAAGAAAACATCAGTAACTTTCATATATCATTAATACAGATAGCATATTGAAGAAGATATTTTACAAAAGCTTCTGTGTTCTTTGTGTGTACTATCTACACAAGCGCCTTTATAACGAAATACAGGCTTGAACCTTTAATTGAATATATACAAGTTAAGGTGTCGATCTAAGGGTTTAAAAACCCCTTAAATGAACATCTGCATATATGGGTAGTTTATGACGTATCGGAATTAATATATATATCAGAATCATTTCTTTTTTTAATAACAAGTGACAATCATCCGTGTAAACAAACATAGATTACATAAAACTCTTGAGAGAACTGAGTGAAGTAAGACAAACTCGATCAATCAACATAAATAAACTATGGAGAAACTGATGCTGCTACTGAAATTGGGTAAGTTATACATGTTAAATTTATTATAACTTCTTTGTTTTATCAATCCATAAATAACACAATATTTTACCTCCATCTTCATCGGATAACAATACCGAATCAAATTGAGCGTATAGTTTATACGTTAATATTAATTTGAATTGTCACGATGTGTAGGCGACGTTTGAATAGATAACGAAACTTTAATGCTCGGAGGATGCCACGTTCAAATGATAACGTACCAATGATAATGTACCAATGATAACGTACCAATGATCACGCACCAATGATAACGTACAAATGATAAC